AAAAAAAAAATATTTACTCATTTATGCATACAAGAAGTGGGGTACAGGCCAGAAATGTGGGGTTGAGAGGATTTACCAGTGACAGAATGGGAGCAGACTGACTGAAATACACTGCTAAGGGAAGCAGTGGGCACGTCAGGAGATGTCTGCGGCGCCATGTGGGTCACCTTGCTGGTGGGGGATTGAACTTGTGCTTACAGTAGCTGCAGATCGCTTCATAGTGCTGCTCTTTAACCCCTGAGCCATCAGGAAGGACCCTTAATTAACTACTTTTAAAAGGCCAGGAAAAAAAAATGTAGGACAGTATATATAAATACTGATTACATATGAATATAATTATTAATTTTAGCCTTGATATTTCAACCCTCCTTGATCCTGCCTTTGGGTGTAACTCATAACAACAGAGGGTCTGAGGTTCACTTTTGGTATGTCCTCCCTATCAGCTACTGGGGGACTCAGTTTTTTTGTGTAGAAACATATTTACTTACAAATTGTATAATTCAGAAATGTAAAAATTTGCCATATTTTAAAACTGTGTTCTGGTGTTTTTGTGTGGGAGGTACACTTTTTCTTTTAAACTCAACTTATCTTAATACCTTATTTACTGTGGTTAAAAATACCTAAAATTTACTACCTTGGCCTTTTTTTTTTTTTTAAAGATTTATTTATTTGTGCATACAGAACTCGGGTACAGCCACAGGTGCAAGGGCAGTGAGAGGATTCACCAGAGACAAAGTGGAGAGCAGAACAGGCAGACTGACGAAGTACATGCTAAGGGGAGCAGTGGGTGAATCAGGAGAGGTCTACTGTGCCATGTGGATCACCTCTGAGGCGATGATCACACTCATGCTGAAGTGGCTTTAGCTTCTTAGTGCTGTGCTTTAACCTGTTGCGCCACCAGGGAGGGCCCATCTTGGCCATTTTTAATTATACAGTAGTGTAAACCATATGCACATTGTTGTGCAACAGATCTTGGGTAACATACTGTAAACCAAACTGCATTCTCTGTTCTCCCTCCCACCAGTATCTGGTAACCTTCATTTTTCTTTGTTTCTGAGAGTTTGGCTACTTTAACTCAAATAAGAACTTGCAGCCTGTCTTTTTGTGACTGGTTTATTTTTCTGGGCATAATGGCCTCAAGTTTCCTTCATATTGTGGCATATGACAGAACTTTTTCTTTTTTGTTGGGGCTTCATTTTTTTTTTAAGACTGAATAATATTCCACTGAACGTCTATATTACATTTTCTTGATCCACTCATCCAAAGATGGAATTTCTTGGCTACTGTGAATAATTCAGTGAAGATGAGCATATAAATAGCTCAAGATCCTGTTTTCAATTCTTTTGAATATATATATATTCAGAAATGGGAGTTATCATATGACATTTCTATTTTTAATTTTTTGAGGAACCAGCACACTTTTCTTTAGCTGGGGCATTATCAGCAGCATTTCACATCTCTTTTAGTACACATGGGTCCTAATCTCTACATTCTACCCACTGTTCGTCAGTCATTTGGATAGTGGCCATACAGATGGGGATGAGGTGATATCTTACTATGCCTTTGATTTGCATTTCACTGATGACTAGTGATGCTGAGTACCTTTTCATATGCTTGTTTGTGATTGTATTTCTCTAGGGAAATGCTCGCTCAAAGCGTTTGCCGCTTTTACAATCGGTTGTCAATGAGTTGTAGGAGTTACTAAAATCATTACTATGTTCTGGATATTAACCCCTTATAAGACATAGTTTCTAAAAATTTTGTCACATTTTATAGGTTGTCTTTTCACCTTGTTTCCTTTGCTGTGCGGAGGATTTATTTGGTATAGTTCCACTTGTTTATTTTAGTTCCTGAATATAAAATAATTTGGTGTCCCTACCAAATTTAATGTTATGAAGCTGCTTCTCGCATTTTCTTCTAGGAGTCCTTATTTCAGGTTTTACTTTAGGTTTTCGGTTCGTTATGGGTTTTTGCATGTGGTGTAAAGTAAGGGTTCAGATTCATTCTGTGTAGTATACCATTTTCCCAACACCATTTGTTTAAGAGAGTATTCTTTCCCAAGTTCTGGTGTGTGTGTGTGTGTGTGTGTGTTAACTTATGCTGCGGAAGTGGCCGACCTCCCTACACTGTGAAGTCTTAGGTGCTACCCACATATTTGTGCCGCCTCAAGATTTTCTGGAGTAGGTGCTACTAGCTAGCCCCTTCTTACAGATGAAGGCTGGCGAAACTGAAGCTGGTCATTACAGTGAGCAAAGTGGTGGAGGTAAGGCTGGAACTGAGGACTGTAACTTAGGAGCCTTCATTCTGGGACCCTCAGGGGATGCACCCAGTTTTATCCCCGGCAAGCCGGAAAGAACGAAGAATGAATGAACGTCTCAGGCAGGCTCCCAGCAAACCACGGAGCTTGGAAGAACCCACTGTTCCGCACAGGGGTGCTTTGCTACCCCGCGCATGCGTAGCCCATGCTCAGGGGGGCCACTCAACTTCATCTGCCCACACATGGTACAGCCTCTCTCCTCATGGTACGTCCTGTCTTACCCACGTCCGGGCTGGGGTGGTACGTTCCGCCTCCGCTCACTGCCCCTCCCCGTTGGTTTCCGCGCGAAAAGCTGGGCCGCCTGTGCTGCCGCCGGCTCTGCTGCAGCTTCCAAGATGCCTGCCCGCACCGCCCCTGCCCGAGTGCCCACGCTGGCTTCCCGGGCTGTCTCACTGCCCGACGATGTCCGCAGGCGGTAGGTGCCGCCGGGGACCGTGGACTCGGCGGGGGGGAGGTGGCACAGTGCTGGGTGTGGGGGGGTCCCGTCCCCTCTGGGTAGCCCGTGGCTGCTGCTGACAGACGGGCACGCATGCGCAGGATGGTGCGGCGCGCAGCGGCTGTTGGCGCGGACTGGGCGGCACTTCCGGTCGCGCGCCCCTGGTCGTTTGGCGCCAAAATGGGCCGAGACCCCTCGCACCTCCGGGCAATTGGAGAAACTTGGGGTCCCTCCTGACTTCGAAGTGGTGTAATTGCTGGATTGCCTTGGGGCATCCCTTTTCCGAGCAGCCTTGGGCCCTGCTTCTGCCACCAGTCTGGTGGCGCAGGAAGTGGGCAGCCCGCAGCCTCTGGACACCCCTTAGCCGGGGCACTCCGGCCTCCACTTCCGGTGCCTGAACCTCTGTTGGGGGTGTAAGGGCTTGGGGACATTTTCGAGGAGGTTCCCTTGGAGCCCAGGTGTTGCCTGCCCCGATGGCGGCCTTCAGGGAAGGACATCGCGGGTTGGCGCTCTGGTGCGACCGGCTCAGATTTGCGAGCCCTATTTTCCTCAGGGGGCTCCCTTCATCATCTCCAGCTGCTGTGGAAGTCTCATTCTGGAAGGAATTTTTACGAAACAACGCAGGGCAAGGACTTGGGCAGTGTGAATACTGAATGGTCTTTTTTAAGCAATTCTGTGCTTGCCTGTGAGCCATGGCTGTCAAAGCAGTTTTGCTGGGGATGACTGGCAGCAAGTTCCAGTGTGTGTAGGGTTGGGGGGAGTGAATGGCGGCAGTTAACGTGGGGGACCGGCAACAGCAAATCTGTGCACATGGGTCGACAGGAGGACCTTTTGGACTCGGCTTCTCGATCAGGAAGGCTACCACATACTCCTGAAAACTTGCTCCAAGTGAGGTGTGCATTAGTCTCAGGAATAGGACTGAACACTTTCCTTTGGCTTGTGGACCCAGTTTTACTAATTCCAGTGATTGTTTCCCGTGGTTGTGTCAGGCCAGTCCTGCTTTGAGCTTTTAGGGGTGGGTTGGGGGGTGATTTTGGGTTTCCCTATCAGGTGCTTAAGGTTCAAACCACTTTAGTGTATTTACAGGGGGTGTGTCTTGCTGAAGTATTTGTCCCCCAAGTTTAACATGACTTAAAATGGTAGTAGAGCACCTGATTTCATGATCCACTCCAGAGAAGTTAGGATTCAGCCTTCTTTGTTTTGACCTTGAGAGCTCTGTCTCCACTGACTTGGTGACCTTGGGCAAGCATCATAAACAAGCTATATCTGGGAACTGGGATTATCAAGGTGGGCTTTAAAGTACTGGGTAAACTTTAAACTTTTAACCCAGCAATAAAGGCCCATATGTTAGCACTGACAACAGCTATTGTAGCTTGTTTTTCAGTTCTTAGTCACTAATTGTATAAAACACTTTACACTATCTCATTTAATTCTCAAGAAGTCTTAAGTGTAAGTGCTGTAGTTAACAGCAAAGTGTGGCTTCCTGCTGAGATCTGCTTTTTGCCAAATCCATTCCCTTCAATTAGGGATTTTGAAGTGGCTACTGATTCATGGGTTTTACTGGGCCAGCACAAGTGTTTCATTTGAGTGAACTTGAATGTTCTTAAGCAAGATTTTAAAAATATTTATATATGCACACAGAACTGCGGTACAGGTCAAATGCAGGGCCAGTGAGAGGATTCACCAGAGAGAGTGGGGAGTAGAATAGGCAGATTGAAGAAGTACATTGCTGAGGGGAACAGTGGGTGAGACAGGAGAGATCTGCTGTGCCATATGGGTCACCTCCCTGGGCAGGTATTGAACTTGTGCTGAAGTAGCTGGGGCTAGCTTCTTTAGCCCTATGCACCATGAGGGAGGGCCCTAAGCAAGATTTTATTTTCCACTAATTGCCCCCATGTTCCCTATTTGAATTGATTTGGCAATAATAGATGTAATTTTAGACCATGGGGTAGATATTGAAATTGTTATGTGACCCTCTCAATAGGTTTTTTTATACTTTGAAATATTTCATTGTACAAAAAAAAAATACATAAACACACCATTTAACACTCCTTAAACTTAGAATAGTTAAGTGGAGTTTGTAGTTGGACTATGAAAATTAGTGGAGAAATATAATCTATAATAGGTACCTAAGTCTGGTAGAGACTCAAAGAACAAAATTAGGCCTGGTCCTCATTTATGTATTTCTGTCACTTCTGCTGACTTGTTATATCAGTTTCTTTTTTAAATACACATGCAGTTCCTTTTGTTAGGTAATGATGCTAGAAACTATATCCAGTATTTGAATATGTCTTTTAACTTTTTTTGTGAACTGTAGCATACCTTAAATATTCTGAAATCTTCTAAAACTCATGCCTTTCAGGACAAGTTAAGACTTTTCCATTTGATTTTTCTTATCTGCCTAGCTTAGCTCTGTGCTGACAAATAGAATTCTCCTAAGTGTCTTCCTCTTGCCCTTAGGTAAAAGTAGAAACCACAATTTTTTTTTTTTTAAAACAAGTTGGAACTAGTGGTTTCCCTGCACCACACACTGATTGATATATTTGACCTGAAGTCCATAATTCCCCTCTACTGGTCTGCCTATCTGTGCTCTTCCACAGGCCACCCAGGCCTTCCTTTTGGTTCTCAGGGTCTGAGGTTAGGCAGAGTGACCAGTATGAGGTCAGTTAGAAATGAACTACAGGGGCCCTCCCTGGTGGTGCAGAGGGTTAAAGGGCAGCACTATGAAGTTGTCCGCAGCCACTGCAGCATGAGTTCAGTCCCCAGCCAGGGAGGTGGCCCACATCGCTGCTCCCCTCAGCAGTGTACTTTGTTGATCTGCCTGTTCTGCTCCCCACTCTGTCTCTGGTGAGTCCTCATACTGTCCCTGCACCTCTGGCCTGTACCCTAGTTCAGTATGCACATGCATAAATGAGTAACTCTTAAAAAAAAAAAAATGAACTACATGGGTTCAAATTATGTTTACTCCTTCCTCAAGGTGGCTACTAACCATGTATTTTTAAGACTGCTCAGCAAGAATCCCTTTTCCCCTTACAGTGATTTATCCAGTGCACTCTTGCTCTGTCTCTGCAAACCCAGTTAATGTATGTGCAGTCTGATAGACTCAGACTCAGGCTTGCGTGCCAGACTCTGCCCTTTAATGAAGCTTAGGTTTACACAGATCTAGCTCCTTTGTACAACACTGATTAGCCTTTGCAATTTTGAAGACTTTATTTGCTAGTTATTAAATTAAATCTTAGTTTTTTAGTTCAGTGGCTTCTGGTTCCCCCCCACACCCCCTAATCTTTCCCGGTGGTAGGATTCTAGATGTGCAGACTGCTGGGGTTCAATCTCCCCCACCCCCAACCATGTAGCTGTGTGGCTAAATTATTTAATATCTTGGTATCTTGGTGCTTTATCTCTAAGATGGTCAAGGAACTTCCTTGCCAGGATTTTATGAAGACAGAGCTGATAGGTATAAAATGTGATAGAGCATCACCTGTACTATGTGTCATGTGGTCACCAGTGGATTTCCATTTTCATTAATACTGACACAAAGATCTGATGCCAAGGAAGGTAGTGAAGTAGTGTATACCAGGTAGAGCAGATGTGTTTGCCTGCTTTTCATTCTGTTGTTTTTGGCTGGCTTTTTGTAGCACGGTCTGAACCTGCTCCTTTTGCTGTCTCCTTACCTATGTGCCAGGTGGCCAGACCTCCTGATGGGTGTTCTCACAAGGGTTGAGAGGGCTTTCTGTCCTCTCACCTCTTCAGTATCTCGCTGCTTGGTTGTTTGTATCCTTGACTTTTGTGATGCTATTTTTACTTCAGAGAGTCTCTTCCCTCCCTCCTCTTTCTTTCATTATTGGACTTTGATTGTTTTAGGTCCTTCTACTACTTTTAATATTTGGAGCACTAGCTGTAAATCACTACCTTCAGTTTTGATGCCTCTCAGCATGATTATTCAACAGTTAGAAATTATCTAGATAGTTACTGTTCTGAAGTGTCACTTTGAAAACTCATGGCTGTCTTACTGTCCTTTCCCCACTAATAAGTCCTGAGTTATTATTACCATATTTTTAATTGCAGCCATAACAGATTACCACAGTCTTAATGAGTGAAACAAAGCAGCAAAATATATCTTACCTTTTTGAAGGTTGGAAATCTGGTATGGTTCTTGCTGAATTAAAAGTGAAGAGTCATGGGCCCTCCCTGGTAGCGCAGCCGGTTAAAAGCACAGCACAAAGCTTAAGCTGCTTCCACATGAGTTTGATACCCACCTGCCCCGGAGGAGATCCACATGGCATGGCAGACCTCTCCTGACCCGCCCGCTGCTCCCCTCAGCAGTGTACTTCGTGGATCTGCCCGTTCTGCTCCCCACTCTGTCTCTGTCCTCTCACCCTCCGCATCTTTGGCCTTTACCCCAGTTCTGTACGAATAAATAAATAAATCTTAAAAAAAAAAAGTGAAGAGTCATAAGGCAGCATTTATTCTGGAGGCTCTAGGGTAGAATTTGTTTCTTATTCTTTGAGGTTGTTGGCAGAATTCAGATTCTGGCATTGTAAGATTGACACCCCTCTTTTCTTGCCAGTTCTCAGCTTCTGGAGGTGATAGCATCTCCTTCCTTCCTCTTTAACGCCAGCAAAATCAGTCCTCAAGATGCTTCTGATTCTCTTGTAGTGCATTTTTCTTGAAATGCAGCTAGGAAATGTCTTTGCTCTTAAGGTTTTGAGTAATTGCGTCTAACTGGATAATCTAGGATAACTCCCTTTTCAAGGGCTATAACCTAATCACACCTGGAAAGCCCCTTTAGCCAAGTAAGGTAGCATATTCACATGTTCTGGGGATTAGGGCACAGACATCTTTGGGCACAGACATCTTTGGAGATGTCTTGTTATCCTGCCTCCTGCAGATACTATCTCAGAGAGCCCCATCCCCTCCACCCCCATGCAGCAGTCACAGGAGGCCGAGTTAAATGCAGCTTTGTTACTTCTCTACCATGGTCTCCATGACTGCTGCTAAACCATCTTTCAGACCAGCATTTCTAGTTTAGGGTGTTAAGGTGATTTAATATTGTGTAATCTTCTCTAATCTATATTATATATTCCTGTCAGATTAATTTTCCCACAGCAAGTCTCTGATATCTTGGGTTCCTCCTTCATGACTCCTTCAGCAGTGGTTTGTTAACTGTGAAGCAAATCGATGACTTAACCTGGTCTCCCTGGCCTCCCTCAGACTGGCACCCAGCCTCTTCTCTCTGGACTTGCCTCTCCTCCTCTGTCGCCCTGACTTGTATTGGTCTCCTGGCTATATCCTGAACTAGCTCCCCTGCTGCATTGTTCTGTTCAGGCAATTCCTCTGCCCAGTGCCCACCCGACTCTTCACTCCCATGGACCCCTCCGTACCAACACTGCTAATATCCCTTCTCTGGCATGCATAAATACATCTTTTAAAGAAATCCCTTCTCTTGGTGGAAACTCTCAGTTGAACTGCAGTTGCCTTAGGCTGAAAGTGGGTAAGGTTTTAGCTCTTCTGTCACATGGTCGCTGTTTGGTGAGTATTCTGATTGGTCTTTCACATCCATTTTGAATCTTCCTTACTGGGAATGTAAAGCTGATTTAGGTGACTTAGCAGTTTTACTGGGGAGGGGCAGGTTCCAGCGAGGTAGAGAGACCAAACTGCCAATACTGTGGGTTCTGGCTTCGGTTCTTAGGCCATCTGAGTTAAATCCATTCTTAGTGAGGCAAGACATTTGAATTCTGGAAGATGTGTTTCTCTTTGTTAAGCTAAGTATTCCAAGTCAGAAAGAATTAGGTCTGTCTTGTGCCCAGATATAGGACTTGGCATTTTGAAAAGGGCACCTTGGTGGGCTTGGTCCATTGAGCTGTCGCCTTAACATTTGTAATCACCTCAGTATCAAGAGGCTGTCCAGCTTGTCAAGGTGTAGGTGCTGTGTCGTGAGTAGTCTTGTGAGCAGGATGACTGAGAAGTCAGATATGCGCTGGGCGCGTGCTCTGTGTGAGCGCCCAGTTCGGCAGCTGATCTGCATAAGGCTCTCCCCGATCTCAGGTTACTTTAAGGATAGAATGACTTTGGCTTGGAAGGGGCTCCATGTGCTTCTGGAAAGTTTGATGGTGAATCTCGAGTCTGAATTATGTAACATTTTATAAAAGTATACCGCTTAATTTGCAGGCTAAGTATTTTTCTGCAGAAAGGCCTTTCCTGACCCCCAGCCCCACACGCCATCAAGTCAGGAGGCCTCTGCCTGATAGTTCCTATGTGCAGTCACCCACAGTTTGCTGCTTGGAATGGGACCTGGCTACACAATAGTTCTCGCTCACAATGAGTGAGTTGGAGTAAGAAGCAAGAGTCTTCCACCGGGTGACATTGGTGCGGTAAAGCACCTCACTCATATCCCTGGCTTTGCATTTAACACTTGCCCTCTGGACAGGCCAGTTTGGAAATGCTCTGTTTCTCCCCTTTGGGCTAGTGATAACCAAGTACCTACTCTGTGTGGGTGCTGGGTGATAAGAGTCCAGAGATGGTAGAAGCCTAGTCCCTGCCCAGGGCTCTACCTCTTCACTGACACTCGCTCAGCTGGTTAGACCTGTTCTCACACCGCTGCCCAAAGGCGTCACCCAGACTGAGAACACCAGCCTCTTCCCTTTCCTCAGTGATTTCTGTGCTTGTTTCTTCATTCTTTTTTCCACCTTCTCCCCCTAAAGAGACATTAATCTTTAATAATCGAATCAGACCTCAGTTTTCCCGCCAGACTCTTAAGAGCTTTGTACTCTGACTGATTAGATACCAGCATTCTTAAATGCAAGCAGCCAGCCAACTTTCTAACTTCATTTATCTCCCCTGCACAAGGGCACCCCCTGCTGTCCTGGATACTATGATCCCTCCGAAATCTTATATTTCTTATTAGAAACGCACCATCCTCTACCAGAGCCTCTGGGAAGGATTGATGAGGACTGCTCGCAGCAGCCTGTGTCCCTGGTCCCCTTAATCTGACACTGTGCCATACCCTGCAGGAAGACCTCCTGTGCCTCATTTAACCTCCAGAAAGGCCCCAGCTATGTGACCTGCTCCTTTCCCGGTCCTGGTCCCTGTTAAAATACATACTTTATTGTAGAGCTCTTGTATCATCTCTCAGCCTCAGAAAAACCATCGTTAAAATGACCTCTTAGCAACTATAGCAGGGCCTTCTGGACATTGAGGGATGGGATCCACCATATTTTTTCCAAGTTTCTCATATTAAACTTCAAGATTCATTAATACTATCGTATTCTTGGGTCTCCCTAGTGGCACATGGGGTTATGTCAGCATTTTATGAAGCAATAGGCAGCCACTGTAGCACGAGTTCAATCCCTGGCCAGGGAGCTGACCCAGGTGGTACAGCAGACCACTCCTTTCTCACCTACTGCTCCCCTCAGCAGTGTACTTTGGTCAGTCCACCAGTCCGCTCCCCATTCTGTCTTTGATGAGTCCTCTCACTGCCCTCCCCCCTCCACCTCTGGCCCACACCCCAGCCCTTGTTTGTATGTATAAATAAATCTTTTAAAAAATACTGTGGTATTCTTACAGGTAAGGAAAGTTACTTAACAAGCATTTCTCCCCTGTTTTCTTCCCCCAGGCTCAAAGATTTGGAAAGAGATAGTTTAACAGAAAAGGTAATCTCTTTTTGAAAATTTATTACCAACTGACTATGTCATAATAAGTTATTACGAAATAAAAAGGTTTTCTTTAAGTGGAATTGTCTTTATGGAAAACAGTTTTTAGGGTAATTTGGATTGTTTCCCTATTTAATGTACTGTATTAATATGCTACTGATGTTAGTTGACTTCATCTTAGTTAATGAGATTCCAAAATAGATTCCATACCGTCAGTTCTCAATTACTACTTGTCCTGGTCACATTATTTTCAGAAATAGAATTTTGTTCTAATACACTATTAGGTGGTCTCTGTTTCACCTCTAAGCTTGGAGTTTTTTTTTTTTAACCACTCTGGAAATGGTGTAATCTGATCTTAATGGAGACATTATGAACAAGTCTGGCGAATATGAAAGTTTTGAACTGAAGCAACACTGTCTCCTGTCAGTCATTGTTATACAACCACACAGCTTAGTAATTTGTGTTATTAGTGCATTAGTCAACAGCTTGGGAGTTTGGGACTTCTAAACCTGTGTCCTTCCCTTAGGAGTGTGTGAAGGAGAAATTGAATCTCTTGCATGAATTTCTGCAAACAGAAATTAAGAATCAGTTATGTGACTTGGAAACCAAATTGCATAAAGAAGAATTATCAGAGGTAAGTTCTCAGTGTCACAACTTCTAGAACGCACCATCCATGTAACTTGGCTGTGAATCCCCATGTTTTCTTTGTTAACTATTTCCTTGTTCACTTACCGCTGTTTGTTTACATTCACTGGTGCATATTTAATTCTTTATTGCTGTAGGAGCGCTATCTGGCTAAAGTCAAATCCCTTTTAAATAAAGATTTGTCTTTGGAGAACGGAGCTCATGCTTTCAGTCGGGAAGTGAATGGATGTCTAGAGAACGGGAGCCAGACAAGTGGTGAGAACCACAGAGTGGGAATGGCCGATACTAACAAATCTCCCAAGCCTGTTTCCAAGCCTTGCACACCCAGGAGAAGCAAGTCCGATGGAGAAACAAAGTGTAAGAACTCTTGCCTCATTTGACAGACTTGTACTATGTAAGGGGACAGTCAAACTTGGAGCCGTAGGTACCCTTGGCAGTACTTCCTCGTTTGTTTCTTGTGTGTATTTCCTAACCTAGTAAGTACTGCATACTTCCTAACTACCCTACACGTAAACTTTAAGTTGTCTTTGACCAAACATGGAGCATTAGATCCTAACACATGGCTAAACTTAGGAGGTATGAGATAATAAGCATGAGATAACAGGCACTGCTAATATTTCTTACTTCTGAGTTATATGCCGATTTAAGCTAAACATTTATTTATTAACTCCTTCCCAGTTTGTAGTTTTGGGACTTGATTTCAGGTCAGGTTTTTGGTCACTTTTGATGATACAAGGGGAGGTTGTGGTTCAGGGTATGGCTCCTCAAGAGCTCACATAAAATAGCTCTGTGAACTAACAGTGCAAATGCTGACTTTATGGAGATGGTGGCTGATTAGAATAAAGTGGATACTTAATCCTCAGAACCTGGTTCTCAGCACTAGCTTGGTAATGCTGAAGAACTGAACCTTTGCTGTGAGCTTTTTTATTCATAGTGGCTTTTTTTTTCCCTCTCAACAGCTGACGTTTCACCTAGCCCCAGGATTACAAGGCAAACTACCAGGCAGACCACCATCACATCTCATTTTGCAAGGGGGTCAGTATATAATGAATTGACAGCCGCCATTTCTAGGGGCCAGTTGTTTTTGGTAATCATGAATGGAATTAGTAGGGTGTAATTTAGCAATTCAGACTTCCATGTTGCAGAAGTTTTCATCTTGCAGATCATTAAACGTTCATGAACAACCTTTCTGAAGGCCTCATCCTTTTACCCTTATTTTAGGAAACTTCAAGTTACACAAATTAGTGAGGATAGTAAAATGAAGCAAATATCCATCACCTAGTATCAGCAATTGTCAGCTCTTAACCATTGCTTCATTTATACCTCCATACTGGCTGTGCCTCCAACTGGATTACTTTGAAACAAATTCCAGACATGTCATTTCATCCATAAATATGTCATTATATTTTAGATGAGGTCTCTTTCATTGACAGCTTTTTGATTCTTACTTTGCTATAATTGCTAACACTTAGCAGTCTCTTTTTTAAAAAGAAAATGTGAAAAAAAATACTATTTTCATGGCTTAAAAAGTATAGCAATTCCTTATTGTCAAGTGCACATACTCACATGTGACAAACAAACCACAGTTGGTTGATTTGTTCCTTAAGCCTTTTGAACCATAGACTCCTTCCTTTTTTATTTTCTTGCCATTTATTGGAATGAAATGACCATTTATTTGTCCAGTAGTTTACAGATTTGGTTCACTATATCCTGTGTTAGCTTGTCTCACGATTCCTATAGTGAGTTGATTAGATTCCAACTTTATTTTTTGAGACTTCTTTATAGACGGTGTTTGTGCTTCCACCAGAGGCATGGAGTGTGCCTTCCATTATACTAGTGGCTTTTGATCAACTTCGAGTTCTACAATTTTTTTAGTGTTGCAAAATGGTAATATTCTAAACCCATCATTCAGTGGCATATTAAACGTCAAACATCTTTCAGCATCCTGGCAACCCAGGGCTTGGTGTCCATGCCCTTAATTTGTCCTGAGAGGATGCACTTGGTAGGGATGACTATAAGTCATTTTGTGCTGGAGGTTTAGCATCTGGCTGAGTTAATAGTTGATTTATTGTGTGTGACAGCCCTGCTAAACGGAAACCTGAGGAAGAGACTGAAAGAGCAAAATTGGAAGATACAGTTGATGAAGAAGAAAAAGACCAGGTAGGCCTGGCATTTTCAGTTGCCTTAACTGCCTTTATTTGGCACATTTTCTGGTAATCATGAATTTACACTTGGCCTCTAATGGATGTGAAGTGACCAAGGAAGGATTAGAACATATCCCTGGACTCAGGGTTATACAAAATATATGGTGATTAAACTCAACAACTCAGCAGTTGAAGAACCTGCTGTCTACCTTCCTGCCTCTCCTGCTGACAAATATCTATCTGCTGATTTGATTAAAGCATTTGCTTCTGATGTTAGATAAATTCTTTGCTCATATCTAATTTCTCTATAAAAAAAGATTTGTACACTTGTCGTGTGTCATGTAATAATTCTACTTACTACTTAGGCTAGAGAACTGGCGGCTTGCCACAAGCCTCTAGTACAGAAAGTACTAGTCTGAGTAGTACCATGTGACTTAAGGAAGGCCACACCTAGGTAACACCAAATGGTCACATGGTATCATGCTTGAATTTCTGCTACAGGATTAGCTGTATAAATTGAGGGAGGATTTTCTAGGTTTATGTGTGGGTGGTAAATGCCTTACCTGCTACCTGGTGAAGATGAGTATCCACGGTGTGCTTTGAGCAGGGATTCTCAACCATTGACTTTTGAGGCCAGATAATCCTTGCCTGTGGAGGCAGCATCTCAACCACTACTCACTGTGCATGCCAGTAGCACCTCTGCCCCCTCCCAGATGTGACAACCATAATTTCGTAAGATATTGCAAAGTTTTTCCTGTGGGTCAAAATTACCTGCAGGTGAGAAAATTAACTAAGGAACCACTCAGTCACGGGGCCACTCGTGTCATTATGGCAGGCTTGACATCCTACTGTAAGAAATGCTAATTCTTCTGTCTTACCCTTAGAAATTGGACATCACTGTTCATGGTCTTTACTCACAGTATAGTTAGATTTTGTCACACTACCCCCTCTAGTGAGAAACTGACAGAGGTCATCATGAACATTTTCTGCTTTGGAGGAAAATGCATCATAGGTGAAAGCAAGCTGACTCTTGTAATATCAACAACTGATTTTTACAAGTACCGGTTGAGTTGTTTGTTAAAGGCTAACCTTTTAGAGGGCTTCATAGCCTTTTCATCTGACTTCTAAGGAAGCATGCTAAGAACAGTGTTTCTAAATAGGAAGCTGTTTCACTGGCAGTGCATGAGAGGCCTTGGGCTTTGTGGGTGAACGCCTGTGAAAACAGTGTTTACTTAGTGTTTAGTATGCTAGCGTAAGCCTTAGAATACCAAACCAAGACAGTGCTTTCAGCTGAGCAAATAAGAACTAATATGGAGAAAAACTTTCATCAACTTATACTTGAGAATTTACTTTGCTGTAAAAATGGGTAACGGCATTTTGTGACGTGTCCAAACAGTACAAAGGATGTACAGCAGATAGATTTCCCTTCTACCCTTCCTTTTCCCGAGTATCCAGTTTGCCTTTGCCTTTCTTAGTGACAAGCACTTCTCAAGAACTTCTTCTGTAGCTTTTCAACTGTTATTTATATGATGTATGGGTATACTATACCTTGCATATATGCACACATATTAGCATCATGTAGTCATAAAATCTGTAGTTTTCTAAAAAACAGAACCAGTAGATTGAGTGTATATAGATATATTTTTAAGTCATTGGCTCACACAATTATGAGATTAGAAAGTCTGAATTATGAAGGACATTCCAACAGGCTGGAGACCTGAAAAGAGTTTATGTTACAACTCGAGTCTGGAGGCATAATTTTAATTATAGGCACTTATATAATTCAGATTTTTAAGATGTTTTACATAATGTGATACTGAGGGTCTATGTAATTTGCCCAACTTTCCTCAATGGAAACATCTCATGCACTGAAATAAAATAGCAGAACCCGGAAACTGACATTGGTACAATCTATAGATTCATACACACATCTCTTAGCTCTTATATATACATATATGAGCTATGTATGTATGTGTGCATTTATATGTGTGTGTGTGTACTTATGCATGTGTGGATTCATGTAAGCTCTACTTCAAGCAAGATATAGATTGTGTCATCATAGTATTTTTATCCCTTTAAATTACAATAATGTCCTGGAGATGGCAAATATAGTCAACTTAGGGATATAGTGTACTAAGGATTCATCTGAGAAAGGAGCTCTTGTCCAGCTTTAGGTGATCATCTCTCTTCATGATTTGAATTGCTATTACTGTTTAAAAACAAAACAAAAAACTTGTTATGAGCTCTAGGATCTTTGGTGCTATCTCTGGACAGTCTCTAGTCCAAAGACAGGGCCACCTCTGGGGTTGGCCAAAGTCCTTGCCCTGCTCCCATACCTCTGATGATTGCCCACATCTCCTCACCAAACCCAGGCCTCCATTTCCCCCATCATCTTTTTTTTTGTCTACTTATGGTCATCTTTATCTTGCCTATAACATGATGTTTTGTTTTTTTTTTAATTTTTTAAAAATTTTTATTTTATAACAGTTTATTTTTACATCATTTTGTACATTTTTCCCCCATCTCAATTGTAATCCCCGCGGGTTTCCCATCACCAAGTCACTCATGTGCCATCACCATAATCCCGTGCACTTCCCTCCCCACCCCCATTTTTGATCCCATTCCCCACTCCACCCCCACAGAATGTCTCTGGTATGTGGTTGTTCATTATTTTTGTTATTTTCTCGCCTGGTTCATTATACTCCTGCTATGAGTGAAACCATCCGGTATTTTTCTTTTCCTTTCTGGCTTATCTCACTAAGCATGATCTTTTCCAGCTCCATCCAAGTTGCTGCAGAACACATGTGTTTCTGTTTTTTGGTTGCTGAGTAATATTCCATTGTATATATGTACCACATCTTTTTAATCCAGTCATCTACTTTTGGGCATTTGGGCTGCTTCCATGTTTTTCCAATTGTTCCCCCCATCATCTTTTAATCATCAAGTGTATTTAATAATTTGATTCATATTTTTGGATATTGATTTTCTGAAATGAATATTCTTTTTTTCTTCCTCCCTTCTTTCCACGTAGGAGGAAAAGAGACGTAGAGTTACATCCAGAGAACCGTAAGGATAATTAATATATTGTTTTTTGTTTTGTGCAGTTGTGATCTTGATTACTGAAATGACTTTCTGAAGTTTACAATGCTTTTTAAGTGAGTTGTCATGTTGACCATACTGTAAGGATGCTAAGCTGGGGTCCCATGGTTAACCTTCTGACCTGGGTAGAATTTCCTTAGACTGAATTGAAGGCAACTGGAAGCTGTTATCAGAACCAAATTTAAAGGTCATATTCAGTCTAAATGTTAAAGGGCACTGTTGCCCTTTCAGGGTTCCTGAGGTGAAATTTGCTTTTTGGGAATGGAAGGGAGGAGCTTATTAGAAACTGCTTTTGAGGGAAGAATGTGTAAAAGTCACAGGGGTTTGTTGTTTTGCTTGACAGAGTTCCTGGACCACTCCCTGAAGAACCAGAAAGAGTAAAACCAGGAACATACATGGAAGAGGATGAAGAAAGAGAGGAAAAAGTACAGCCTGGTCAAGCTTGTTGTTTCTACTTTTAATCTCAGCGTTCTGTTTTATTCTAAGAAGGGTCTTAGAGTGGGAAGCATACAGCCGCAGAGGAACTGTCACTTAAAACCAAAATGACCTTAATTTCAGCTGAAACTCCTTTCAGGCTCATTTTTTTGATGGTTCTCTGTGGAAGAGAGTTATGTGATGACGGTGATAGGTCATGTTAGGCCTGGGGTCTTCTGGACCTTTGCTACGGTGTCAGTCCATCAGAGCGCTTCAGTCTGTTCCTTGGCCTTGTCCCCTTCCTCTCGATTTCAAGGTCTTTTTGGAGATCAGATTTTCAAACACATGATGTGCTAAAATTCTGTAAATGTAAAGTTGCATTCTTACCTAAGACTGGTTGGTTTTTTTCTCTAGACTTCAAGCTCCTTTGTAAAAAACAGAGTTTAAGAAGTACAGATGTACCCTTTCAATGCCCTTGAAGAGGGGGTGGTAGGCACGAGGTGGGAGTGGGTCTGATAATAGAAACTCTGCCATTAGAGTGCTCTATCCTGTATGACATAGGGCTGCCAGTGGGCGGTCACAGGTGGTGCAGTCCTATTTTGGTTATTTCATGTTAAGATTCTCATTAGAAGTTTCTTATAGATGTGGATGGGTAGTGAGTGCCTTTGTTAGGGACTTAGTAAAAGATGCATGTCATTTTGCTCTAGGGATCAGCTATGATGTATGGTAATTATTGAATCATTTGGAATACTTTAAGATAGTAATTTTTTAAAAATTTATTTACTTATGCATAAAAGAACTGGGGTATAGGGCCCTCTGTGATGGCGCAACAGGTTAAAGAGCAGCCCTGTGAGGCTGTCCACAGCCACTGCAGTGTAGATTTAATCCCTGGCCAGGGAATCGACCCACATGGCATGGCAGACCTCGCCTGTCCCACCTGCTGCTCCGCTCAGCAGTGTATTTCGGTCAGTCTGCCTGTTCTGCTCTCCACTCTGTCTCTGGTGAGTGCTCTTACCCCATGCAACTGTGGCCGATACCCCAGTTTTTATATGCATATATGAATAAATCTTATATAAAAAGAAAGGACTGGGTTGTAGGTCAGAGGTGTGGGGATTGAGAGGATTCACAGAGACAGAGTGGGGAGCAAAACAGGCAGATCTACTGAAACACAATGCTGAGGGGAGCAGCTGGCAATACAGGAGAAGTTTGCCATGCCATGTGGGCAGCTCCCTGGTTGGAGATTGAACTCAGACCGAAGTGGCTGGCAATAGCTTGATGGTGATGAGACTAATCCTGTGCCATCTTGAAGATAGTCTTTAATTGATCACTTTCCCATCCCTGATACTAGTTAAAATTAGATGAAAGTCAGGATATACTTCAAATTCATCTCAGAACAGGCAATTCTGTTGGGCTAGCTCAACTACCGCCCTCCAAAGAGGGAACTTTGGGAAGGACTAAAGTATCCTGTGCTCACACTACCAGCATCTCTTCCTTCAGTAGGGAGGTCTGCAATCTGTTTTTTTAACACCACCAATCTTTCTGGTGTCTTCACAAAATGTGGAGTTTGAGATTGAATTTGATCTGAGTGTTTTTCTGTAGAGCATGGATTTAATGGATTTGAGTTGTAGTGCTCATCCAAATAGGATCATCCAGCTGCGCTACTTTGTTACACATTCCAGTTTTGATATAGTTATTATTTTGAAGACTGTTGGCATTTTCTGAAGGCCAGTAATAGAGAAATTTTGGAGGCAGAATACTTCAGCTTCAGGATCTGTCTTCTAAGTCTAATTTCCTGCCTTAACTTCACCAAAATTACCATTTAACTCCAACAAAAAATTGTCTTCTAGGGGGCCCTCCCTGGTGGTGCAATAGCTGTCTACAGCCACAGCATGAGTTTGATCTCTGACCAGGGAGCTGACCCACATGGTGCAGCACACCTCTGCTTTCTCTCCTGCTGCTCCCCTCAGCAGTGTATTTCAGTAATCTGTTTGTTCTCCTCCTCACTCTGTCTCTGGTGAATCCTCTCAGCCCCCACTTCTCTGGCCTGTACCCCAGCTTTTGTATGCATAAATAAATAAATCTTATAAAAAAAAAAAAAACGCTCTTTAAAAAAAATTGTCTTCCACAACAAGGTGGAATTGACTGTTTCTTTTCCCCCCTCTACTTAGGAAGAAAGGAGACTCAGAAGTCAAACCAAAGAACTGTAAGTATTGTTAATATGCTTTTGCGTTTTATAGTGTGAAATCTAGTTGCTAAAGATAAGTATTTTGATAAAAATTATGGGTTTAGACAGGACATTCGGTACATTAACTATACAGTAGGATGTGGGTAATTTCTGCCTACAGAAAGTCAGGTTGCTGCAGTGAAGATGAGTTCAATTGGGATTCTTGTCTCCACCCAGATTCTTTTTCACTGGTGGTCATGCAGTAAGCAGCTTGTTGGACACCGTTAAATGCCCACTGTTAAATGAATAAGTAGCGATCCCCTTTACCCATAGCTCTGACGGTGCTGTGTAAAAAAACACCCCAAAACCTGGGGCTTAGGACAGTAAGCATTTGAGCTTGCAAGTCTGGCTTTCTGGCTGTCAGCTGGTCTTGGCTAGCTGGGCTTGTTGGTGTCAGCTGGGCTGATCCCTATCTGTACGATGCCTCAGCCAGCCTGTGTGTGTTCTGATGGCAGTGGCAGAGTACAAGGCAGGAGTGAAAAGCATTTTTTGATGCCAACATCCCATTGGCTAAACAAATATTGAACCGAGGCCAGAATCTTAAGGGCAGGTGTAACACTAGAACCCAGTGGCAAGGCCCTGGCAAAAGAGGTGAAGACATGAGCCCATGGGTGCACTGGGCTCTCCATGGTGGCTGATGCAGACCACACACCAGACCAGCTCAGGAACCTACTGAGGGCCAGTCTCAGCCTGTCCTTTCCTCTTCTGTAGGCAGAATTCCCATCAACTTAAATGAGTAGAGTCCTAGTGGACTTGTTTTAAGCTATAATATCTCTCAGCAACATTCTTAGGAATTGTTGGTGGCATTTCTAGAGATTATAAGTTCCAGTGTAATAAATGCCTTTCAGCTTTCCTGAAGTGAAGAAACTTGTGTTCAGATGGGAAAGGCCACCCATGCTGAGTCTGGGACAGAGATTTGTGAGGCCTTGTTGGAGCCATTTGAAATGGTGCTAGGCTCCCGGTGCTGACTGGTTCTTTGTGTTTTGTTTTGTGACAGAACACCGAAACAGAAAGTTAAGGAAGACCTGGACAGAGAAGCAAGACCTGGTGGCCAGGCTGAAATGGTGGATGAAGGAGATGAGAAAGTAAAGAATCTTTGTTACTTTATTCCTGTGTTTCCATTAATTGGGAGAAATGGTGTAGGGCTGGGCCCTGGGTTCAAATCTACTCTACCTACCCTGTGGGCAGGTTTCCTAATTCCCTTCATGGGAGTTAGTAGTTGCCACAGCATGGCAGTTCCTGATACACAGTGAATGTTAGTTGTCTGTTTATCCACAGTAGTGGACACAGGCCTGTGTGTGCCTTGGCTAAGATGTGTTTGAATTTAGTTTCTTTTGATCCTCTCCACTAAGAAGACTGGGTGTGTTTCAAAAGCCGAGATGTGCATGCCAGTCAGTCTCTTGAACTTTTTTAGTCTAGCTTCCCGACATCATCCTAGACACATAAACACACCTCCACATTTCAGCTAAATGAACACTTCAGCTCTAAGTGTTCAGCTAAATGAACACTTCAGTAAGGTTGTCTGCAGGGTGATCTTACCTGAGCTCCAGGGGAAGAGGATACATTATCATGGGGTGGCCACAGGACAGGATCCTCAAAATCCTTAAGCAGTTTGGTCCCTTTGAACTAGGATAATCTTGTGATTGTCTCTGGGGCTTTCTGTTGAGATCTAGAATGGAACCCAAGGGCATAGATTTACTGGGTGAGGAGCGTAGTCACTTCTGACCTGGTTGACTGTGGTATTCAGTCTTGTCCTGTGGTAGATGACTCTTTTAGTGTCACCTCCACTGTTCGGGCACTTTATTGTCTCTTACCCTTTCTGCCAAGATGTCGTTTACCTTCCTGTCAGTACTTGCCCTAGAATCTGTTCAGATGCAGAGATCTTAGTAGTGTCTGGCTGCTTATTCTCTGCAAACAGAAAATGGCAGAAACTGTAGATCACACAGCTTTGTCTCATGATAAATAGGGATGGATCAAACATTAGATATTTGCTAACATTGTTGATTCTTCTATTTTAAGAAATCAGTTCATATTTTTCATGAATGAGCTAAATTTGCCAGAAAGGCATTGTTTTTTTTTTTTTTAATAACAGTTTATTTTTACATCATTTTTGTACATTTTTTTCCCCCACCTCAATTGTAATCCCCGCGGGTTTTCCATCACCAAGTCACCCGTGTACCATCACCATAATCCCGTGCACACCCCTCCCCACCCCCCCGTTTTTGATCCCATTCCCCACTCCACCCCCGCAAAATGTCTCTGGTATATGGTTGTTCATTATTTTTGTTATTTTCTCGCCTGGTCCATTATACTCCTGCTATGAGCGAAACCATCTGGTATTTTTCTTTCTCTTTTTGGCAGAAAGGCATTGTTTTCTATGTGTAGACTCAAGATAGTATATTGTCCACGTGTAACAAGCAATTCACAAACATGTAACAAGCAATTCACAAAGGGTGAGAATTGCAACTCTTTATTAAACTTTGCATAGTAAGTTGTTACTTTACCTACTATTCCAATGCCTTTCTTTATGTGTCTTTACCCCTGACCAGACAGAAGCTGGGTGACATAAACAAAATGCTTGTAATATACTTCCTTTTCACTGAGCTACCCTAGAATAGAGGTTGACAAACTGGCCTGTTTTGTAAATATTGCTGGAACACAGTCAGGTCTTTTCACTTGCTTATTGTTAATGACTGCTTTGTGCTACATATAGTAGGGTTGAATAACTGTGACACAAACTATGAGACTTGTAAATCTGAAAATGTTATTTTCTGACCCTTAATACAGTCTGCTAACTCCAGATCAATTCTTGTTTAGGGTTGGGGGAGTCAGGAAGTGAGCAACAGTATGAGGTCTCATCTTCATCCTGTACATCTACCCTGATTAGTTACTGTTCACTTACTCCATAGCACTGTGATTATTAACTGACACCTTGCCGTTGTCTGTTCTTAGAAACTAATTTTTTTCACCTTCTCAGGATGAAAAGAGGCACAGAAGTCAACCCAAAGATCTGTGAGTAGTTAAAATGTTTGTGCTTCTGTGCTGTGCTTTGTGTAACTGAAATTCAAAAACTAGAGACCTGTGATCATGTAGAAGTTTACAGGGAATTGTACTCTTGAAAGATGGGTGATGTTGGACAGGGTGGATAAGAAAGCAAATCCTGGACTCTGCCTCTTTGGCAGCACTCTTGTCACTTTACAGTCGCTTGCGTCTCTTAGCTTCTAGTTCCCCACCTCTTGAGGAGTCACACAAGGCTTCTGAAGGCCTTATTTTAGGGTCACAAAATAGGAGCCACCATGACAAAGGGCTTTCTGTTTTGGATGGGAGGAGTCTGTTCCTCATGTATGTTCTGAGCATTATGCCTTCTGATTAGGTATTATTTGTCCCTTTTTTGATGCAAATCAGCCATAATGTTTTTCTGAGCTAGTAACCTTTGGTATATATTGTTTACCCAACAGAGCTGCCAAACGGAGACCTGAAGAGAAAGAACCTGAAAGAGTGAAACCACAAGTTTCTGACGAAAAAGATGAGGATGAAAAGGTAAGATTCTTCTTCAGTTCCCCATTTTTTTTTTTTTTAAAGATTTATTTATTCATACAGAACTGGGGTACAGGCCAGAGATGCGGAGGGTGAGAGGATTCACCAGAGACAGAGTGGGGAGCAGAACAGGCAGATCGACGAAGTACACTGCTGAGGGGAGCAGCGGGCAGGTCAGGAGAGGTCTGCCACGCCATGTGGTCACCTCCGGGGCAGGCGGGAATCGAACTCATGCGGAAGCGGCCTTAGATTCTCAGTGCTGTGCTTTAACCCGCTGCGCCACCAGGGAGGGCCCAGTTCCCCATTTAAAAAAAAATAAAATATAGGGAACCATTCAGACTTACCCAGAAATGAGCATAAATAAGAGGTTAGCAAAACCATTATGTTCTCATTCCCTTAAAGTGTCAACTCCTGGCTACAGGTTTTTCAGTCGAACCTAATCCATTCTCATCAGTATCCCTTACTCCTGGATGAGAACAAATTCCATGAGTATTACTGAAATTGTTAGATGAACTAGCTCTAAAGGGAAAGGGCTCTTAATTGTCTCATTTCTGTGCCAGCACATTACCATTCCAACATAATGTCAGGATCTAGTCTGTTCAGATTTCTTGTTGCTATTGTTTGCATACAATTACAATCTACAATGTCTGCAAAATGAATTTGGTTGACGTTTGTCCTGAACATCTCAGCTATCATTTCTCCCCTTTTACTTGAAATTCGTGAAAGGCATCAATTTATTTCTAGAGCTTGGCATTTCTACAGTTTGAGTTTTGCCATTTGCACCCCACTCAGATTTCACAACTCCCTCTAGCCCTGTCTCTACAGACAGATAGCTGGTTCTGGAGACTTAGTCAGTTAGTTGCAGGTCTTGTTTTGAAGAGTCCTTCTGAGGTGGTGTCAGTGCCCTTCCTGTGTCTTCACACCAGCAGGTGTGGCTTCTTATAAAGTGATACTGGGCTCAGGTGCTGTCTGCCTGATTGACCCATTACGAAGTCCTCAACTTCTCCCCTACTGTTTTTAATAGTCATTGTTTAAAGTGTATTCATTTGTTTCTTGTACCCAAATGCTTTTCCTTATGCTAGTCTGCTAAGGCGGCCATAACTGTGATTTAAACAACAGATGTTTTCTCATAGTCATGGAGACAGGAATTCTTCATAGTTCTGGAAGACAAGATCAGAGTGCCATAGAGTTAGTTTCTTTGAGCCTTTTCTTTGAGCCTTTCTTCTTCTCAGTGTCCTCACAAAGGCCTTTCCTCTCTGTGATCATGGAGGGGCAGAATCAGCTTCAGTATCTCATCCTCTTGTAAGGACACTAATTTTGTCCTGTTAGGGCCCAATCTCACTTAACTTTGGTCACCTTATTAAAACCATTATTTCCAAATATAGCCAAAATGTGAGTTTGGCAGAGGGGCGAGGGGAAGCCACACAATTTGGTTCATATCATCCTCATGAGGTTACATACCTTGAAGTGCTGCTTGTATAGGAGCACTAAGCTGTTGGTGGTGATTTTTCAAAGTGTCTCTTGGAAATTTAAAAAATATATATTTACTAATTTTATATATTAACATATATAATGCCTATTATAATCTGTTAATATATATTATTAATATATATAATTTTGCTTATGTCTGCTTAGGGGTAAAGACAGAAAGGCACTGGGATGGTAGGGAAAGGTTACTGTTTTTATTATTTATAATATTATAAATAGTATGCCAATATATATCAATACATAACATTAATATATAAATGAATTATTAATACATGCTTTATATAATATGTAGTCCTTATATATATATAAATACGCTGTTCTCATGATTCTTTTAAGGAGATCTTTAGTTATAGGGATTTTTATTACTAACTTTAGACTGGAGATGGCACAATATCACTTATCCTTTGCCTCCATCCCTCACTCTGACTAGGTTTTGTGATAACCATGTGTAGAAAATTCTTAACTCTAAAGCATTGTCCAGATGTAAAATACTTTTTCACCCTCACTCTCGTTTTCTCCATGTAGGAAGAGAAGAGACGCAAAATTACATCCAAAGAACCGTAAGGACTTTTTTTTGTCTTTATACTAAACCATCTAGAAGAAAGTAAAGGGGGTTTTCTGAATTGCTAGAGTAGCCTTAGCTTTTTATCTGATCCACCTGCTGTTTTGAGGCAAATCCTCCCTCCCCCCCCCAATGTGGTAAAGAGACACTGTGACCCAGCACCTTGCACCTTAAGCAAGGGTCGGTGCTCATCTGTGTCATGTGGATTCAGTGTAACTTTTTGATGGCGAGAATCTGGTATGTTCTGAAATAATTAAAAACAAAAAAACCCATTTTTGTGCTTGTTTCTAGAACTGAGAAAAAAGTGGCTCGAACCAAAACAGTAATGTCTTCTAAGGTAAATGTACATCTGGGGGTAAATCTGGTAGTGCAGAGTTAATGGGGTTGCTTGCAGCTGTCTTTGAGCACCTGTTAATATTTCATGTCCCCACAGACTCACCCTGTGAGGTGTCTTCAGTGTGGGCAGTACTTGGATGATCCTGAACTAAAGTATGAACAATTTCTCCCTGATGCAGTAAGTTCAGCTCCATATACGTGTAGCCTTTACTTCCTGTCTCTTGTGCCTCTGTTTAACGATCCAGTATTTCTCAGGTGGAGGAGCCGCAGTTGTTGACAAATGAGAAACTGTCCATCTTTGATGCCAATGAATCTGGCTTTGAGAGTTACGAGGCTCTTCCCCAACACAAACTGACCTGCTTCAGGTAACTGATTTCATTTTTACTTCCTCTAACAGGGCACTTCCCTGAAGGTATCTAACTTCTCAGGCACCCTGTTGAAAGCTCTTTAACACCCATCCTACAATATTTTTCAAGCTGCTAGTGATTCATGGATGAGAGTTACAAAGCTGGTGAAAGTATAGCAGATCTTTTCGGGGCTTTTTTGGTTGTTCAAAGTGTGCATGTTAAGTCTTCTGTATACATCGTGAAGATCATTCAGGTGAGGGCCAGCTATGCCCAAGGTGCTGCACCAAGAGTTGGTGCCTCTGTCCCTGCTTTCGTTGAGACAGAAGTTATACCTGCTGGTAGTAACAATTAAAATTGATGTAAAAGGCATGGTAAGCAGAGAAAATAGGTGAGAGGTTACATGTAGAATGGACACGAAATCATCTGAACAAAGACTTCAGTGGCATAAGAGAATAAGTCAACGGGGTAGCTCGGAAAAGGTTCTCAAAGTCAGGAAATTCAAAACCTCAGAGGTGTGTTGTATGGAAAGTAGGTGTGACTGGTAGACCGGGGAAGGGGGAGTAAGTAGTAGAGGTGTAATTGGGAACACAGCCCTGGATTCTGAATGGTTTTACAGACTGGTGATGACGCCAGGTTCTTCAAGAGAGACTAGTGTTCTGCTACTGTCACAACTTGGGAAGCTGTAGCAAGTTACTCCCTTGTGAGAGTTCCTATCTTCTCAACTATACTCATTACTGATCTGGTGTTGCCTTTGTGGACACTTGTACTCTGATGCACAAGTAGGAGAATGGAGAAGAAACTTTGGGTGAGAATATTGAGCTAGTATTGATCTAATGTTCTGTTCAACAGAAAGATAGCCATGTCTAGGAATGAAATACAGTCTCTTCACCTCCTGTCTAAACTAGACACTGTACTGCGACTTCCCTTCGCTGGTTCATCATGAACATTCTCTCTTGTCTGTCTAGTGTCTACTGTAAGCGTGGTCACCTTTGCCCAATTGACACTGGCCTCATTGAGAAGAATGTCGAACTCTTCTTTTCTGGTTCAGCAAAACCAATTTATGATGACAACCCATCTTCTGAAGGTAAGTGGAATGGTCCAGGGTGTGTTTGGGACAGGAATTTTAAAAACGGACAAAACTTACCCGACAAAACAATATTCAGTTGAAACTGTTACCATCTCAATTGAGGCTGCACTATGAAGATGTGGAGACACACGTGATGTGTGGCTCTCAGGACTGCCTGGCTTAGCTGAAACAAGTTATCAGCTCAGGTGGGCAGAAGAGTGCTGCTTGGCCCTTCTGGCTTTTTGACATGGTTCTTTAGTTCACACTTCCTTCAGGAACTGTCTCTTTTCCCTCTCTTAGGTGGTGTTAATGGCAAAAATCTTGGTCCCATAAATGAATGGTGGATCACTGGCTTTGATGGAGGTGAAAAGGCTCTTATGGGCTTTAGTACTTGTAAGTATTTGGCCAACTGTGGACTGTGAATGGCATCTGAAAGGGTTAATGGCATTCTGAATGGCTCTGAAGACTGTGGTGCTGCTTTTTTGGGCTTGTTGGGCTCAGGTGGGGAGACTTCAGCAGGCTCACACGAGTGCAGCATGACCCTGTGAGAACCATGTTGGGTTTCAGTGGGTGTGGCTTCCCCTGTTAGTCACAGCTGGCCCTGGAACCGACCTGCCAGTTGTAAGAACAGGTCCTATTCTTATAACTCAAACTGGACCCAACCCAAAAACCAGAGATGAGCTACATGAAAGCTACTTGGCCAGTCTCCATTCTCTAGCTGACTCATACTGGCCACTTCTGACTTCTAACTTGAATGATTGTAGTTTGTGTTTTTTTGCAATCTGGGTATAGAATGACTTTTTTGGACTGCTCTATTAGCTTCATAGACTCCTTGTCCTTTGACCTGCCTCGATTCAAACTGCTTTTTCAAATGTTTTCTGTTCTCAGCATTTGCCGACTACATTCTGATGGATCCCAATCCAGAGTATGCACCGATGTTTAGTGTGATGCAGGAAAAGATCTACATCAGTAAAATCGTGGTTGAATTCCTGCAGAGCAACCCTGACTCCACCTATGAAGATTTGATCAATAAAATTGAGGTAAGAGGGAGTTACGACTAACCGTCATCCAGGCTTCATCTTTTGCTGCAAGCAGGTGTTGCTATCAGAAGACTGTGAAAAATACTGTGGCAAGTGTGTGAGCTGTGACTGCGTGTGCCCTGCACCCAGGCGGTGTAAGCGGCGAATGCAACTGTGGCTCTACCCAGAGATGCTGTGTGATTTGTGGAGGCCCTGGAGCCTCTGGGGCCTATTGTCATGACTGTACCTTCTAGGAGGTGGATAGAGATAGTTGCTCCAAAATTGTCGATTTGGGGAGCTCTTAACACAAATTATGGCTTCAAGGAGAGGAGGATGGTGTGTTGCAGCGTCCAGAAAAGATAGCTGTTACTGCCAGCAAAGTATCTCCACAGCTGCCTGTTTTTACATGGGCACCTTTCACCCTTTGCGCCTTCCACCAGATGTGCTAGCAGTGGAAAAGGACTGTTTACACAACACTCTCAGTTTGTATATCACAGACTGTATCAGAAAAACAGATTAGTTCATGTTTTTTCTTGAATTCAAGAGTCAAGGCTGTTTTCAAGATTGATGTGTTCTCCTACCAAGAATTTCTAAAACGAGATTAACATTAGTTGCAGCCTTCTATTTGAGAAATTGACCAGGAAGTTCCCTCCTGTGAGAAACATGTTTTCGCAGCAGTTCTGGTGGGCCAGTGTTCTAATGAAATGTCTGCCAGTGGTGGGAGATCAGAACAGTAAACATGAGCATTTAATCTTGTAATCTTGTACTCCTGCTGATTTGCATTTTCTCCCAAGAAATTGGAAACCTTGTCTGTTGCTATTAAATTCATAAAGTAGAATTTATTTTCTAATTAAAATTTAAAATTTGAGGTAAAAGATTTAGGGTTCTTCATAATCTGGATTTAAAGTTATATCCATGTGATACAGATAGGGCTAGAAAACATCTAGAATTGCAAAAGTGGTTTCAGTTTGGTAAGTTTTATTTAAGCCTAAAGAATGTATGTTTTCTTTTTTTAAAGACCACCGTTCCTCCTTCTGTGCTCAACCTGAATCGATTCACAGAGGATTCTCTCCTTCGACATGCCCAGTTTGTGGTGGAACAAGTTGAGAGTTATGATGAAGCCGGGGACAGTGATGAGCAGCCCATCTTCCTGACTCCCTGCATGAGAGATCTGATCAAGTTGGCTGGGGTCACCTTGGGGAAAAGGTAAGGATACGGAAGAATAAAACTTAAGATGTGAGCGCCCACAGGCAGAATGTCTGTGCATTCATCTGCTAACCCTGTGGAAACCTCTCTCCAGGCGAATGGAAAGACGTCGGACCATCAAGCATTCTGCCAAGGATAAGGACAAAAAGGACAAGGGCCCTACAAAAGCCACCACTACCAAGCTGGTCTACCAGATCTTTGACACTTTCTTTGCAGAGCAAATTGAGAAGGATGACAGAGAGGAAAAGGAGAATACCTTTAAACGCCGGCGCTGTGGTGTCTGTGAGGTACCTTACTCTGCATAATCTGAGGAAAGCCGTCCTTGCTTTCCCTGGCTTGAGACTCACTGCTCAAATGTGACCCTAAGATGGAAGCCAGAGAGAAAGTTAGTAAAATGTTAGAGTGACCTGTATGCCTCCAGGGACAGATTGCTGGGACAACAATTGGAGATGTACTTGGGGACTCTTTGCTTTTAAGAAAAGGGCTAGGTCTCCTGGGTGACTTTACTCAGTCCGCTTCTCACTTTCTGAAAGCCCTGGGCTGAGTGCAGGGAGGGCAACTACTTCTTCCAAGTAGAGGGCATATTCCCAGGAACCTGCCTTGTTTCATAGTGTAACTTAACCCAGGAAAGTGGAGGCTGACCCTTTTAGAGTTGAGATCTTAAAAGACTTCTCTTCCTATGGGATGGGGTTTGTTTGTTTGTTTGTTTTTTAGTATATTCACCCTAGAGGAATTTTCCCCTATGGCCCAGAAATCAAACATATTTGTTAGATAAGTGGTTGAACTTCTATATAAATACAACAGATGCCTCAGAAAACACTGTGCTCACACTGTCTACTGGGTTCAGAGCTTTTTGTGTCTTTAGGTTCCCTGACCAGAGATTTTCATGTCCTCATTGTTCTGTAAATTAGCTTTACTTGGTTTTTATCCAGCGTGTGTGTCTTAACTTTTAAAATCCTTTTAAAACATGACTATCTTTCTTAACTGTGCTTCATGTTGATAGAGGCAAATCTAGTTAATTTGTTTTGGACATAGCATAGTAATTCCTTGTAGTAACATCCCAATTCTTAATAAGTAGTTTTTGATAACTACTGCTAACAATGACATCCTTGAACTCAGCTTATTATGACTCTGCTCTCCAAAGTGTTGGTACTGATTATTCTTTCAAGCAGTGTGATTTCTCACTTGTCGTCATGTGTCCCAATATTTCATGTCTGGCTCCCCTAACCTTTGTTAACCTAGGAGGTGTGTATAGTATCTTGTTCTTAACTCTTACTCCCCATACTTCTAATGATGTTAAATATACACATTTTAAGAATTAGTTTATGACAAAACTGGTTACCATTGATACTAATGGCCATTTGATTTACTTTTAAAAATATTTTTTAGGTTTGTCAACAACCTGAATGTGGAAAATGTAAAGCCTGTAAGGATATGGTTAAATTTGGTGGCAGTGGACGGAGCAAGCAGGCTTGTCTAGAGAGGAGGTAAGTGTGGCTGATGTTCCTGTAGGGGAGGATGCGCCAGATGACTGCCCTTGCACTTTAAGTGGGGTGATGGCTGGGTTGAAATATGCAAAACGGCGAGGATTCCTTTGTCTGTTGTTTGTCTCCAGTATAGCCCTGCTGGCTTTGCTTGTGAGGGGACTTTGCTCATTTTTGTAGGTGTCCCAATATGGCCATGAAGGAGGCAGACGATGATGAAGAAGTAGATGATAATATCCCAGAGATGCCATCACCCAAAAAAATGCATCAGGGAAAGAAAAAGAAACAGAACAAGAATCGGATCTCTTGGATTGGAGAAGCAGTCAAGGTAATCTTGGAGAGACTATCAGTCTTGTGTGTTGTTTCCTGCTAGACATCTTCGGTTTGAGCCCAGGAGCTTGAAACCTGCTCTTTTGCCCATGAAGTAACATGATCAAATGAGAGGTTGAGCCTCATGTCCAAACACTAGGAAAGCATTTTGGCTTATGGACCCAAAGTCTGTTTCCCTGATGTCTCAAAGTGTACATTGGACACAGTTCTATGAGACTGGGCTATTGAAAGTGTGAACGCTGGAATCCAATATGTTGCTGATACACACCAGGGAAGAGCTGATAAAGGGGACTTACGTGATCTTTGTTGTAGGCTTCTCACCAGGGGAGGTTGAGGTTCCTTGTCGGGGCTAGGCTTTTAGAGCTTGTTACTAATTGAAATATTGCACGTTTAAGTCCAAACTCACCTGAAATTAAGCTCTCTTGTTTTCAGACTGATGGGAAGAAAAGTTACTATAAGAAAGTGTGTATTGACTCAGAGACCCTGGAAGTAGGGGACTGTGTATCGGTTATTCCAGATGATTCTTCAAAACCACTGTACTTGGCAAGGTTTGTATCCTTCCCTCTCCTTGATTTCAGCACCTGCTCTCTCAGACCAGGAAAAAAAATGCCTATTTCGTAAGAATAGTAGCAGCAACTTTTCCTTAGACTAAGAAAACAAAATCATAGGAGTTCCCTTAACTACACTCAGACCTGCAGGTCAAGTTAGAACTTTCCTTCCACCCCTTCTTCCAACGCTAGAGTCACGGCATTGTGGGAGGACAGCAGCAATGGACAGATGTTTCATGCCCACTGGTTTTGTGCTGGGACAGACACTGTCCTTGGAGCTACGTCAGATCCCCTGGAGCTATTTCTGGTAGATGAATGTGAGGACATGCAGCTTTCATACATCCATAGCAAAGTGACGGTGGTCTATAAAGCTCCCTCAGAAAGCTGGGCCATGGAGGTGAGTGCCTGGTGGCCCTGCTGTGTCTCTCCCTCACTGCATGGGGTTGTCACTAACACAGCACCCTCATCCTTGTCCCCAAAGGGTGGCATGGATCCTGAGATCGTGAAGAAGGAGGATGATGGGAAGACCTATTTCTACCAGATGTGGTATGATCAAGACTATGCCAGATTTGAGTCCCCTCCCAAGACGCAGCCAACAGATGACAACAAATACAAGTGAGTGCTGTGGCTAGGCCTTGCTCTTGTCTCTTCCTCAACGCTGCCCTGTGTGTGCTCCAGAATGCGTTCCTTTCGTGTGAATCCCGAATTTTCCTAGCTTTTCACCTACTTTCATCTATAGGGTTTGTTTTTTGTTTTCTTCCATGCCTTCTTTGTTTTTTTGTTGTTTTTTTTTTTTTCACTAACCAAGGACCAGTCTGACTTCGTATTGATTTGCTATAGGTGTCCAGACTGTTGTGCACTTGAATTTCCTTTATGAGAAACTCTTGTCAAGGATCAGAATGTTTTTTTCGATTTTAAACACTTTTGCATGTTTTATGTATTTGTACCAAAGGTCTTGGTGTTGTCTTTCATTTAAGTATTTAAGATCTCGCAAATGAGATCTTTAATTCTATTTTACTTTTACCAGTCAATCACTGCTTACTTTTATTTACTTGTTTAATGTTAAGTGCCTTGTCCTCCTTTGCAATCTCTGTACCTCACATGTTCTGGGCTTAACAGTGGTGCCGGTGCAGTCAGAGCAGCAGACATAGGAATTCTGTGGGCTGGAGGTTAACCTTTCACATAGATATCCCTGTGTTTCTCCCACTGGCAAGGTGCCAGTGTTTTACTTGCTCTTCAGTTTTAAGGCTGTCTCCAACTCTTATTTCAAGGGCTTATAAATCAGGAATAATGTTGAGTTTTACCAAAGAGCTTTACAGCGATAATAGAACAAGCTTCATGATGTTGACTCCCAGTAGAACTACTCTGCATTCTTGCTGTAGATGTATTCCTAACCATATTCTAGATTCTGTTTAATGTCTTGGGGCTTTTCTGTGAAATTCTCAGAAGTAGGGTTGACTTGTTGCTTATATTTCTGGTCTTTGTCCCAAATAAGTGCTTGCCCAAATGTGACTATAAACTACAGGAAAGCTAGTTCCTTCAAACCAGTGTACATATATTTCCTTGGTCACTAGGGTCTTTGGATTGAGTAGTGGCAGCAAATGCTGCTATGGTCACTGCCAGTCAACTCAGAATCTTTTGTGTCTGTCTCACTAAGGTTCTGTGCAAGCTGCGCCCGTCTGGCTGAAATGAGGCAAAAAGAAATCCCCAGGGTCATGGAACAGCTTGAAGACTTGGATGGCCGGATTCTCTACAGTTCTGCGACCAAGAATGGCATCCAGTATCGAGTGGGTGATGGTGTATATCTTCCCCCTGAGGCCTTCACATTCAAGTGAGTGCCCCCTCTGTCCAGGTGTGGACCAGGAGTTCCAGGGCTGGCTTATGTCCCCCATCTGAGACCCCTAATACCTAAGCTGCTGCCGGAACTGTCCTATTAGCAACTAGACAATATCTAGCTCTCTGATGCAGAGTGACCATAGTTCTGCCAGAGTAAAGCAGTGAGTATGTGAAAAAAGCCAGAGAACCCATGGCCATACAGTAGATACCAGGGTCAACAGCTCATTCTCCCTGACCATGAGGCTTTGGGTCTGAGACCTCTTTCTTGCTAGGTCTCTAAGGACTAAATGTATTAAATGTGCTCAGCACAGTCCCTGGCTTAGGTGGGAAATGGAATGATTGCATCATAGGTATTTTCCACATGTGGCCTGTCATTTGTTAGTTCTAAGAACTAGTGCATGGCTGGAATTACAAGCAGTGTTTGCCAAACCTAGTTATTTGTAGTTCTGTTTTCCTAGAATCCCAGTTGGAACCCAGTCCCCTGTCTTAGCTCAGTTACCATGAATTACAAAACACAAGGGTCAGCTTCCTTCCAGCCTCGGTCCTTGGGCCTTGTCCTCTCTAGCACTGGCTACTCTTCACTAAAGAAGACTACCTGCAGGGCTGTTCACTGGTGCTCCTGACACAGATGCGTCAGCACAGATGTCAGGCTCTTCAGAGCGCGCAGATGTGAGGGGCCTGGTGGGAGAGTATGGACCTGCCTCCTAAATGGCAGTGGTCAGGGATGCAGCCCTGCTCCCTGGGCAGCCAAGTCAGGTGGACTGGCTTGGTTCGTGGTTAGACCCAATTCAGCAAGCCGTGAGCATGGGGCTCATACCTGTGCCTTTACTGCTGTTGCCTCCAGATGAGTGCCTTGCTCAAGAGGGCATAGGTTCTATCACTGTAACAAGCCCCAAACTGCAGAAGCTTAATTAACTTCTTGCCTGGACTATGTGGCCATCATGACTGAATAGCAGACTTGGAGCCTTGGGCTGATGGATGTGCAACCTTCTCAAAAGTTGTGGGTCTTTGAGCCTGGGAAGGATGCCCTGAAGACTCTGGGAAGAAGCGCTGCGTATCACTGCTCTGCATGCTCATAGAACAGAACAAGTTCATGCCCGGAATGCGATCTTTCTCAGGCTGGGAGGAAGGGAACAGGAAATACTTGAATAACTTCAGCAATACTAGTAAATCATTAATGCGCAGCTGGAAAAATGCTAGTTTGAAACTGGATGAGACCTAGTCTTTAGCTAAACCTTTTTTCTGTAGTGAAACAATTTCAGTATGTGTGCTGCCAAAGTAAGCACGTTCTCTAAATCTTTTTCTAGTTATGATAAAAGCCATGTCACCTGACCTGACTGCCCGGGGAGCAGGGCTGCATTTAGGAAGCAGGTCTGTACTCTCCCACCAGGCCCGTCACATCTGCGTGCTCCGAAGCGTCAGCACAGGGTCAGGCTCATCTGCTGTGTCAGGAGCTGTGCTCTGCAGGGAGTCATCCCTCCAGTGCTAGCCTGTAAGGTGTTTGAATTTTCTAGCCTGTAAGGTGTTTGAATTCAAGTGGTTGTCACTGGTCAACTGCGCTGTATTTTAAGGTTTAATGCTCAGTTACACATAAAAGTTGCTTCTCTGTAGCATCAAGCTGTCCAGCCCTGTGAAGCGCCCACGGAAGGAGCCTGTGGATGAAGAACTGTATCCGGAGCATTACCGAAAATACTCTGATTACATCAAAGGCAGCAACTTGGATGCCCCAGAGCCATACCGGATTGGCCGCATAAAAGAGATCTTTTGTATCAAAAAGAGCAATGGTCGACCAAACGAGGCAGACATCAAGATCCGACTTAACAAGTTCTACAGGTCAGTGAAGATTGGATGCAGTGGATTCTTCTGGAAGGCTCTCTCTGAAACAGGGTTGTAACATTGCACCTATAGTGGTGATTTAAGAGGTAGTTTTTTTTTTTTTTTTCCAGGTGTTTCTTAATGATCTAGTGGGTGCTGACAATGACTATTTCATAGTCCTTCCTCTTAGACCTTTGTTTTAAAGCTTCAGAAACTTTTTTTAATTTATTCATACAGAACTGGGGTATAGGCCAGAAGTGCAGGGGTGGTGAGAGGATTCACCAGAGTCAGAGTGAGGTACAGGCCGACTGACAGTACACTGCTGAGGGGAGTAGCGGGGGGTGGGGGGGAAAGGTCTGCTGCTGTGTATTAGCTAAAAAATCACCTCCAGGGCGGGGATCGAACTCATGCTGAAGTGGTCTTAGATTCTTGGCGCAGCAGGCTAAAGCACAGCACTACCAGGGAGGGCCCACTTCAGAGACTTCTTTCTAAGAGGAACTTCTCTCTAAGTGAAGTCCTTGAGCAGAAGTTGAGAATATGATTAAAGCAGAGGTGAAATGTCCTGTCTGCTTGAAGACCCAGGAGCCCCCTGAATTCTATTTATGACTGCATTCTGTTTCCTTCCCTCCGCTCCCCACTCCTGTTCCTCCTGTTCTTTCCAGGATGCCCTTTGCTCTCTGTAGTACTTCTCCCGAGGTCTTGACTGTACTCAACTTTTCCTGGCTCTCTGGTAACTGGTAGTGGTTAGGAACTAACCCAGTTAATTCTTTCCGATGGTATGAAGTTGCTTGATTTTTTAGCTAATACACAGCAAAGATCTTCTGAAGTCTTTGTAACCAGTTTTTACAATGAGAAAGAAGTGAAGATCCGGCTCTACATCTTCTTACCAGGAGGGAGGTGGCTGTAGTCCTGATGCAGGTGTGCATGTTTTGGCAGAGTGGAGGTGTGAAGAACAAGCAGGTCATTCTCTGAGTTCATAGTAAGGGTACCATCTTAGTTGTCGTACTCAGTGTCAATTGGGGGACTAGTAATCCAGCTGCCATAATGGAGGTGAGGGGCCTTTTCCCTTTGATTCTCTGAGCACCTCTACGAATGTTATACCATTAATTCATGGTCAGTGCCCAGCAGAAGAGAATTTCTAACAAAGTGTCTTTACACTCATAGGCCAGAGAACACACACAAGTCCACCCCGGCAAGTTACCACGCGGATATCAATCTGCTTTACTGGAGCGATGAAGAGGCTGTGGTGGACTTCAAGGCTGTACAGGGCCGCTGCACTGTGGAGTATGGGGAGGACCTGCCCGAGTGTCTTCAGGACTTCTCTGCGGGTGGCCCAGACCGCTTCTACTTCCTTGAGGTGGTGCTTGAGCTGACCAGAGGGAGGGACTTTTAGTCAAACTCATAGGCCTCTTTGCTCACTCCCAGAGAGGCGTTTAATTATCTAGAGTACAAAGCTGATATTTAAGTTCTAGAACTTAACATAAAAAATGTTTTTTGAGTGACCTAATGCAACTAAAACTTATTGAAGGCTATTAGGCAGCCACATTAGTCCAGCCTTCATGCCTCAGTATGAGTTGGAGAAAAAGGCCCTTTCCCTGGAGACTCAGCTCCGTCCTCATTAGCTCTTAGTGGCAGCATCAGTGGCAACGCCAGATCACAGAGATGTCCTATTATTGAGTCTAGTGAATCACTTTAAAATTGTTTGGGTATGGCTTTTCCATTAAGATCCCTGAAAATGATACATGCCTGTGTTTCTCCAGCTTCCAGGATAGATAACTTCATTAGAAAGTAGTGCTATCGGTTTTTTTTAATTTCCAGAATGAATAGTCCAAGTATTTAAAATAGCAGGGATTTCAGTGTTGACCTAATACAGTTTTTTGTTTCCAGTGTATTAAAAATTAAAGTAGTCATGTTAGTGGCTAATTGCTTAGGGAGAAATTAAGTGGATGTTTATCAAAATAGTTTCTTAAATAGTCCTTGTAGAGAGGAAGCCTTTGTGTTTCTCTGCCAGACTTGTGGTTCTTTGATTCTCAGGCCTATAATGCCAAGAGCAAAAACTTTGAAGATCCTCCAAACCATGCTCGTAGCCCTGGAAATAAAGGCAAAGGAAAGGGAAAAGGTATGTTCTTCTGTGGGCTCTTTCCTAAGCCCCTCCTCTGTAACTCAGGAATTCTTAGAACCAAGAACAGCCTCTCATTACCCCACTTACTGTTAACTACTCAAAATGAAGTCATTTTTGAATTAATAGTGTTGGAAGAAAGCAGCAGAGAGTTTAATTTGATTTTCTTTATGGCCCATCTCCCCAGGAAAAGGCAAAGCAGCAAAGTCTCAGACGTGTGAGCCAAGTGAACCAGAAGCAGAAATAAAACTGTCTAAACTGCGGACCCTGGATGTGTTCTCTGGCTGTGGGGGTTTGTCCGAAGGATTCCACCAAGCAGGTAAACAGACAGGTTCTCTGCACAGCTAGTACAGCTGAAGCAGGCAGATTCTGCCTGGAAGGCCTTGCTGCCTCTGGTCAGAGTTCTGACTCAAGACTCATTCAAGGGGCACCTTTGTCCTTGTTTCATCCCCCAGGCATCTCTGAAACACTGTGGGCCATTGAAATGTGGGACCCCGCCGCCCAGGCGTTCCGACTGAACAACCCCGGGTCCACGGTGTTCACAGAGGACTGCAACGTCCTGCTGAAGCTGGTCATGGCTGGGGAGACCACCAACTCCCACGGCCAGAAGCTGCCGCAGAAGGGAGATGTGGAGATGCTTTGTGGCGGGCCACCTTGCCAAGGCTTCAGTGGCATGAACCGCTTCAACTCACGTACCTACTCCAAGTTCAAAAACTCCCTGGTGGTCTCCTTCCTCAGGTAACCAGATGGGAAGCGCCTGTATGTTCAGTGCTGCTCCAGGTGTCTAATCAGCCAGCCCAGGACTGCGCTGTGTGTGTGCCAGGTGTGAACAGTCACCTGCTTAGCTTTCCTACCTGCTGAAGGTGTGCACCGAGGTGAGCATCTGGCCTTTGCCTTCAGGAAATTCGGTGCACTATTCCACTAGGGAGAAATGAAGTTGGGAGGTGCAGCTTTACTATATCCAAATGTTGAGCATTTGGGTGTGGCTCCTGAAAGGGTAGGTCTTCCTTTTTTCTGGAGGGTAACTCTTGCCATCTTTCGTACCTCCTACAGCTACTGTGACTACTACCGGCCTCGCTACTTCCTCCTGGAGAATGTCAGGAACTTTGTGTCCTTCAAGCGTTCCATGGTCCTGAAGCTCACCCTCCGCTGCCTCGTGCGCATGGGCTATCAGTGCACCTTTGGCGTGTTGCAGGTGCGCCTTCCCAGGGAAGGGCACAGGTGGGTGGGCATGGGGGTGTGGCAGGGAAAAGGGAGGTTAGTGGTCCCTGGGCTCCAGCAAAGGTTCACTAGCTGAAAATGGGTCCAGGGAGACAACCTTGGTGTGGTGACTATGATGCTGGCGTGGGGGAGACTGTTGCCCTGTCCCCACCACTGAAGCTCAACATGCAGATCTGAGTAGCCCCCTTTAGTGTACACTTAAGGCGGCCCGACTGTAACGTCTTTGCTGGATTGCGTCCTGCTTGTTTCCCTCGGTAGGTGTGTCTAGGGACTTTGGGTAGCAGTCAGAAGATGTCCATGGAGGTCTGATTGGCTGAATGATGCCTATCCCACTGTTACCCAGGGTGAAAAATAAGTTTTGCTCACAAACTTCTTGAGGGTGGAAGGTGCACTCCAAGGCGATGTGCAAGGATGAGAGCTCACTCTCACGCTTTGTATGCTTAGTCCTCAATGGCATGACTAAATATAAAACATCAAAGTGGGAAAAAAACAAAACAAAACAAAAAGCATCAAAGTGAGGAGGGGAATCCAGTTGGAAAGTAGTGTGCCAGAGTTGGGCCCTTGGCTTTTCCACTTTAGTTTCTATGGTGTCTCTAGCTTGCTGGTCAAGCAGGAGTGTGTTTTTCCTTGTAACCATACACCGAAGTAGGTTACTGTTCTTTTTGCTCTTCTCCCTGAGTCTTTGGGGTCCCTCTATAGATTCTAAAGAGCTGGTGGCATCACCAGTGGGGTTCTCATGTCTTTTCCACTGTTCTTTAATTGGATCCCACCTTATTACTGGGTTAACTGGGACCTCCAGGTAAGCTTTGTGCTAGCCAGCCACTTGTCCCTTGCTGTGGATGTGGCAGGTTGGAGGCGCCTTCTGACCACGTCTTGCCTTATTACATGCAGGCTGGTCAGTATGGTGTGGCCCAGACGCGGAGGCGTGCTATCATACTGGCTGCTGCCCCTGGAGAGAAGCTCCCCCTGTTCCCAGAGCCATTGCATGTGTTCGCACCTCGGGCCTGCCAGCTCAGCGTCGTGGTGGACGACAAGAAGTTTGTCAGCAACATAACCAGGTAGGAGGCCCTGCTCACCCCTGGGGTCACAGTGCTTATGAATGGCTCTGGGGAGGTTTGCTGTTGCTGAGTCTTTGTCAAGAGTCTGAACTGAAGAAAAGGTGTGAGAAGAGAGACAGGGCAGGTCTGACCTGCCAGGTGAGCACTCTGCTATCTCCAGTCTTGAGTTCTGACCCAGAGTAAATGTTGTGTAGGACGGGGCCAGAACCAGACTGCATCACCAGCAAAGCCCACACTGTACTGACATCTAAAAAGTATGCTGTCAAAGGGTGACCCTTTGACCTCTGAACCAGGTTGTCATCTCAGGACAGTAGCAGTGGCCAGGGACCAGCAGCCATGTGTGCCCCTAGAGATGTCAACTGTTGTGTTGCTTTGCAGGCTAAGCTCGGGTCCTTTCCGAACCATCACAGTTAGGGACACGATGTCTGACCTCCCTGAGATCCGGAATGGAGCTTCTTCACTAGAGATCTTGTACAATGGGGAACCCCAATCTTGGTTCCAGAGGCAGCTCCGGGGATCACAGTACCAGCCTATCCTCAGGGACCACATCTGTAAGGTAACCTCAGCAGAACCTCCAGCAGCTGACCCTACTGAGTCACCTGGTCAGAATGGACATGGAAAAAAAGAATTTTTTTAAAGATTTATTTATTTATGTATACAGAACTGGGGTACAGGCCAGAGGTGCAGGGGCGGTGAGAGGATTCACCAGAGACAGTGGGGAGTAGAACAGGTTGACTGACAAAGTACACTGCTGAGGAGAGCAGCGGGCGGGTTGGGAGAGGTCTGCTGCGTCCTGTGTATCACCTCCGGGGCAGGGATTGAACTTGCACTGAAGCGGCTATTGCTAGCTTGCAGTGCTGCATCCTAACCTGTTGCACCACCAAGGAGGGCCTGGAAAACTTTTTAAAGATTTATTTATTTATGTATAGAAGGACTAAAGTACAGACCAGATGTGTAGAGGGTGAGAGGATCCACCGGAGACAGTGGGGAACAGAACAGGCTGATCATCGAAGTACACTGCTGAAGGGAGCACCGAGCAAAACAGAGGTCTGCGTGCCATATATGGGTTAGCTCCCTGGCTGGGGATCGAACCCAGGCCATGGCAGTGGTAATGCTGAGACTTAACCCGTATACCACCAGGGAGGCTACACATGAAAAAATTTAAAAAAGAAAAAGGAAAGAAAAGGACTTGGAGTCAGTGTCTAGCCAGGATTGGGTTGTGGAATAGAATCAGATTCTAGCCATCTTTCAGCTCATTTTCTGTTCTCGTCCCCTAATACAAACCACCATTTCCACTGGGTTCAGCCTTGCCTCTTCACTGCCTTTGGCTTTTCTTCTGCCCTCCCACACCTTCCCCTAGAAGCAATGTGGCATATCAGGCCTGCTTTGCCCGGAATAGCCCCAGAATGCTATCTGGCCCCTGTTCCCCTTCTCACTGAACTCTTTTGCCCCCTGTTCTACATAGTCTCTCCCTCCCCCTGCAGAGGGCTTGGCTCAGATGTCACCTCCCCAGAGAAGTCTTCCCACATTTGCATTAAGCTGCTCCTTGAGGCCCCCACCCCCACATTCTGCACCCCAGTTCTATTTTTGTGTGGTTTGTGTTTCTCGAGTTGTCTTTTGGAGTTTCTCTGGCCTTTACTGGGATATAAGAGCGGTGGTGCCCAACCCATGGAGGACTGCTAGCTGCTCCCAGGACTGGGTAATAAGCTGGGACCTGCTGCTCTCTTCCAGGACATGAGTGCGCTGGTGGCCGCCCGGATGCGGCATATCCCTCTGGCCCCAGGCTCAGACTGGCGTGATCTGCCCAACATAGAGGTGCGACTCTCTGATGGCACCATGGCCAGGAAGCTGCGGTACACCTATCACGACAGGAAGAACGGCTGCAGCAGCACTGGGGCTCTCCGAGGGGTGTGCTCCTGTGTGGAAGGTGGGGTGTCTGCCTGTGTGCTGGCCCCTGCTTGTGACTTCCTTTGGTTTGAGGGAGGGACTGTTCCTGGGGGTTCCCTGGAAGAAGACACTGGGGGCTGCCACTGACCCAGAGCCCTTAGGTAGGACACAGATGCATGGAGTCTCGTGTCTGCTATAAACAGTTGCTGAGAGTGTTACGTGGCAGAACCTGCCCAGGGAATAGACGCTGTCGGTTCTGCATGTGATAGACACCCTCACAGGCCTCCCTCCTCTTCCGTAACCTCTGCCTTGTTGTGGCCCTCTTTTCCAGCGGGCAAAGCCTGTGACTCCACTGCCAGGCAGTTCAACACACTCATCCCCTGGTGCCTGCCTCACACTGGGAATAGGCACAACCACTGGGCTGGCCTGTATGGACGGCTGGAATGGGACGGTTTTTTTAGCACGACTGTCACCAACCCTGAGCCCATGGGCAAGCAGGTATGTCTGAGGACCAGGCTTGGAGAGAGCAGAGTGGTGGGAGGAAAGATGTCAGGAGCCAGTGCTCCTCACTTTGCACCGCCCCCCCCCCCCCTGTTCAGGTGGGGACCAGCTCATTGACCAAGGCCTAAGGCTGAACTTTTCCAGGTGGGCCCTATCTTCTTTCCCTTCCCCCCACCAGGGCCGTGTGCTCCACCCCGAGCAGCACCGTGTGGTGAGTGTGCGGGAGTGTGCACGCTCCCAGGGCTTCCCAGACACCTACCGACTGTTTGGCAACATCCTGGACAAGCACCGGCAGGTCAGTGAGTGGAGCCGGCCTACTGCTCCCTGCCTTGAAGAGGGAGCTAATTGGCATTTCGACAGCATCCCTAAGCTGACAGGAGAAAGGCCTCTCTGCCTCTAGTCGGGGTGGGGCAGGGTTTAGTGGAGAGCCTAACATACATGGTCACTTCTGTGGGGGCATTGAGTACCCTGAGTTTGTTGGCTGATCTGTTCAGTTAAAGTGGTTTCCAGGGGGTATGGCCAGGAAGGAAGGGACTCTCTAGGGCCCGTGTGTATTAGGGTCAGGCTGTTGCCAAAATTTACCCAAAGGAAAGCCCACCCACTGAATTCAGTAAAGGAGCATTGCTAAAGGTTGAAATCAACCGATTTCTAGCTGATGCTCAGGTTTTAGGTTGACAGTTTCTTAATTAGGTACATTCCATGGAAGTATTGCACATACATACATCTAACGACGTTGTAGTGCACACTCCCGTTTCATTGTCTCTCAGTTCTGGTCTCTGGAAACACCACTTTTACCGGGCAGTGAAGCATAATGACCTCCCTGGCTTGCTATTTGAGTTTTTCTACAGTCCCGTAAGACCCCCTTCTCTAGTTCTGCACACAGTTGTGTTTAGAATTGGGGGGTGGGTCAGTTGGCAGGTCTAAGAGTATTGTGATGGAAGGCCTTGGGGACCATGTGTAAGATCAGAGGCCCTATAACTTGTTGTGAGCAAAGGTTGCTGTTGATCCCAGCTGTGTTAAACCAGGCTTCACCCTCCTTTCTCCTGCAGGTGGGTAATGCTGTGCCACCACCCTTGGCCAAAGCCATCGGCTTAGAGATCAAGCGCTGTATGTTGGCCAAAGCTCGAGAGAGTGCCTCAGGTATGGTGGGGTTGTATGGAGCAGGGGTCCTTTTCTGTGGTATGTATAGGAAAAGAGAACAGCCAGGGCACAGATAACCCTGGGCCCTGATACTCAATCACCCGGCCTCCTCTCTTGGGATTGCTGTGGGACTGAATATGTGACCAAGCGCATAGAAAGGAGGCCTGCAGGCAGTGGGTCTTGGAGCTTTCTTCTGTCAAGTGAGCCTGGCAGCTGGATCTCTTCCAGATGATGACCCACATGGTCTGGAAACCTCTTGGGAGCACTTGGAGCAGCTATTCAGTCATCCTTACTGTTCTTTTCAAGCTGCTCTAGGTTCTTATTTGGTCAGCTTTAACACCCACGCCTGGTTGTCACTCCTCCTCATACAGCGTGTTTCTTGTGCTTGCCTATTGCTGGGTGTAACATGCTGGGTATGTTCTCCACAGTGACTTCTTTTTATTTCTCTACAGCTAAAGTCGAGGAGAAAACTAAGGACTAGTTTTGCCCTCCTGTCGCCCTTATTTCTGGCACCAGGGATCCCCAACGTGCACTGATGTTGTTGTATTTTTAACATGTTGATCAGTTCAAATGTGTTGTACACGGTGTTTGTGGCCTTGACTGACATGAAGCTCTGTTCTGTGAGGTTTGCTTATCAACTAATGACTTAGTGATCAAACTGTGCAGTACTTTGTGCATTCTGGATTTTAAAAGTTTTTTATTACGCATTATATCAAATTACCACTGTATGAGTGGAAATTAAGTCTTTATGTAGTTTTTATATGTTGTAATATTTCTTCAAATAAATCTTCTCCTATAAACCACCCTAGGTGGTGACTTGTGATTTATGAGGGACTTCAGTTGGACCTCACCTGAGGCTGGATGAGGCTCTTCAGTATTGAGGGTAACCCCAGAGATAATTATGTATAATATCACTCCATGTGTCCCTGTGTGTTTGGGGTAGAGGTTAACTTGTGACTCAGGTCTGACCAATGAGACGCAAATGGAACTTGCTAGTGTGGTTTCTTGGAAAGACTTCTTAAAGGAACAGTCTTAATTGGCCTTCCCCATAATAGCCTGGGAGCCCTTCTTTGGTCTGGAGTGAGCTGTGAGTTCTGGTGGTGCAGTTACTATCTTGTGACCATGAGGATAGAAATCCTGGCCTTCTGTCCCCAAGCAGACCTCATCTCTGCTTAAAAATGTTAGGTAAACTTTCTGTGCTTTTTAGCTTCACTTAGTCCTGCTGAATTAGACTTGCTATAAAATGCCAGCTAAGCAGAAGTGTATAACACTTCATTCACCTGATTCACAATCCAGAGGGCCACTTGGTGGGATGTTAAGTAACAACTGCATCTGTACTTTGTAATGATGCACTTTGTGGCAACACAACAGCTACTTTTACACTCAGTTACAGAAGTCTTAGTCGTGAAACTGAGGACTAATTATAATTTGAATGTAAAGTCAACTAGCTTCCTTAGATAATTAGGTATTAAATTTTTGCTTCTCTAAGTGGCAGAACTGAATATTCTTATATATTCTCTGCCCACTCCCTCAGGGAACTATAGAGAGGTCAGTGCCTGGATCATGAGTATGATTTAACAATGTCCCACCAACAGTGCCAACCTCACTTTGGCTTTCAATCCTTGTCAACTGGATAGGGCACATCTTGTTAGCATTTTTTTAAAAAAAGATTTATTTATTTATGCATACAGAACTGGGGTACAGGCTGGAGGTGCAGGGGCAGTGAGAAGATTCACCAGAGAGAGAGTGGGGAGCAGAACAGGCAGACAAAGTACACTACTGAGGGGAGCAGTGGTCACATTAAGAGAGGTCCCTCACGCCATGTGGGTCACCTTGGGGGCTGGGGATCAAACTTGCACTGAAGTGGCTGCGGCCAGCTTGCCGTGCTGTGCTGTACTTTAGTCCACTGCCCTACCTGGGAAGGCCCTTGTTAGCATTTTTTTTTTAATATTTATTTATGCATACCGAACTGGGATATAGACCAGAGGCGCAGGTGTGGTGAGAGGATTCACCAGAGACAGAGTGGGGAGCAGAACAGATAGATGGACAAAGTACACTGCTGAGGGGAGCAGCGGGCGGATCAGGAGAGGTCTGCCGCGCCATGTGGTCACCTCCAGGGCAGGCAGGGATTGAACTCATGTGGAAGTGGCTTTAGCTGCTTTAACCCACTGCACTACCCGGGAGGGCCCTTGTTAGCATTTTTTAATAGTGACTCAAAGCTTATTGTCTAGTAACCATGAACGATACATGACTGACCGTGCTGAGTGCTATTTGAGCAGTAGAGATTTACCCTTATGTTATATTGGTTCATATCTCTACGATATAGAGATTTTAATAGGTATTTGTCTTCTTTTCTGTTTCTTAGAGCCTATTTGAAAGACCTTCCCTTATCCCAGGTCATAAATTTGTGTTTTCTTGTATATTTGACATCTCATTTTAACATGTGAACCACTTCTTAAATATAAAAATAGGTATCTTATTTTTTGCACAGATGCAATGTAGTACAAGATAAATTTCCTCCATCAGGTTTACTTTAAGTATAAAAATATATTTTGACTTTAGGAACCACTAAAGTATATAGTGTGTGTAATGACAAGTATAAATCCTCCACATCCATAAGCACCTTGATGACTAAATCCTTTCAAAGAATGACTTCTTCCAAAGTTGTTCTAAGCTTGAGTCAAAGCACATGTCTGTCTTTTCTCTGCTACAAATGTGCCATAGATTAAAATTACCTTAAAAGATGTTCTACCTAGGGATGTCTCCCTGTGACCCTCTTGTTTTTTAAATGAAGTCTAATATGAAATGCACAAGTTCCAAATGTACAACTTGAATTTTGATGTATGAAATGAATACAGCCCTGAAACCCACATCCTTATCAAGCCACAGATCATTTTCACGCCCCACCTCACCCTGCCCAACAGGCAATGCTCTGGTCTAGTTCTGTCTCTGTGGGTGACTTGCTGGTTCAGTCCAGCATGGACTCTTTGATCTTTTGCCCAGCATACATTTTTGGGAGTTCATGCTAGTGTGTATAGTAGTTCCCTTTACTAAGCAGAAGGAATGGCCGTTCAAACTTTATCTTGCTGTGTTCGAAACCATTTGGTCAAGCTGTGCAGACACTTGTACATGTGGGTGGGTCCCCATCTACAGAACATTTCTAGTAGTTGAATATCTGAGCCAAACTTAATTTTTTTCATTTTTTTTCTTCTTTTGTAATCTATATGAGAAGATGAATGGATGTTAGCTGAACCTATTGTGGTAATATTTTTACAATATACATTAAAAAAATCAAGTAGGCTGTGGATTCAAACAGTGATGCATGCCAATCATTTATCAATAAAAGCTGAAGATAAAAAACAGTTCTTTCTTAGTATTTTTAACAAGTAGATCACATCAGACCACCGTGTTTTTTCTCACTGAGAAGGTATTTTCACAAGCACCAGCATCACGCAGCACCCTCCTAGGGGAGCCTCTCGCAAATCCAGTCTCCTTCCCGGGGCCTGTGCTGCTGCACTGGGGCCACCGTGTAAGGCTGAAATTCTCTCAAGCCTCTCACTGCTGTTGTCTATTTTCACATCTGCAGCTGAACCAAACTTAAGAATTGGCACGTCCTCTAAAACTTGTGGGTTTTTTTTTATTTTTTATAGAAGTTGCATTAAATTTAGATTTGAGGCAAATTGACATCTTTGTGGCCAGTTTCCTCTTAAGAATAGGGCCAGTTCTTCTAATTATTCAGATACTGTGTCCTCATAGCATCTTAAAGTCATACAGATACTGAAAATTTTATTTCTAAGTAAATTGAGTTTTCTTGTTTTCTAAACGGTGCTCCTTTGCCTACAGAAAGACTATTGATTTGTATTGATCGTTGATTGTGTATGTTATATAAATTTTTTACCTTCACCAACTTTCTATTTTGTGACACTTTTCCAGTTGAGGTCTTGGTTTCAGGGATCAATATACTACCAAGAACTACCTGCAGATCTACTTTAGTATAAGGAATGAAAACCATGACTGTTTCCAGTTGCAGCTCAAGCCATGGATCCTATTGGCCTTACCTCGGGGTGAACCAAGCAAGTGACTGATTTGAAGGACACGTGCCAGTGCTGGCCTTTGTACAGCCCAAGACAGCTGGTTTGACCATGTTGAGGACTTAGAGGAGGGCGGCTGCATTTGGAAAGGCTGGAGGGAGGGTCTTAGTTTTCAACAGTTTCTGCCTCCCTGGCTGACTGGCAGGGAACATTCTTCCTTCCACCAGAGTAAAAGTTCAGTCTTAACTCTGGGAAGAAAAAACTGATGGAATTGGAGAATTGGGAGGGATAATGATTGTAGTGGACTCACATGCATTTATTCATGAGAAATCCACTGTTACACAAATCCTCCTTACTGTTTGAGGTGATTATTAAACAAATGCCACATGTTGAACTCATTAAAGAGGGTAAAAAAAGCAACCCTTTGTCCTCTTTCTAGAGGAACTATGTTAAGTGATAACCAGATCAAGCTGATCAGAAAGCTCTAGTCCAGTAGAATAGCTTTTAATAAGTATAGATAGGGCTCTCTCTGGTGACGCAACAGGTTAAAGCACCGCATTATGAAGCTCTCCAAAGCCACGAGTTCGATCCCCAGCCAAGAAGCTGACCCACATGGTGTGGCAGACCTCTTCTGACCCACCCGCAGGTACTTTGTCAAAATCTGCCTGTTCTGCTCCCCACTGTCTCTGGTGAATTCTCTCACCCACCACGCCTCTGGCCTGTACCCCCAATTCTGTAAGCATAGATAAATAAATCTTTAAAAAAATAGGTGTAGGTATACAAGGGCCTCCCTGTGGCCTGAGTTTGATCCCCGGCCAGGGAGCTGACCCACATGGCACAGCAAACCTCTCCTGTCTCAAGCATTGCTCCCCTCATTAGTATATTTCAACAGATCCGCCTGTTCTGTTCCCCTCTCTGTCTCTGGTGAATCCTCACCCTTCTGCACCTCTGGCCTACACCCCAGCTCTTCTATGCAAAGAAAAAGGTGAACATAGCAAAATGTTAAAAAAATAAATGTAGACACACAGATTAACGTTTTAACACCTCACACCTCTGAGAATGGCACATACCAAAAATACCCACTAACAATTAGTGTCAGAGGATATGGAGAGAAATGAGTCAATTACACTGTCGGTGGGAATGTAAACTGGTGAAATCATGAAAAGCAATGCAAATACCTTCAATAGAAATAGCAACATATATCTGAAACTACACACAGTGACCGAGCAATCCCAATCTTGGGCATATATCCACAGAATATGAAACCATCCACAAAAAACCCCAGTACGTTCTACAGTAATTGCAGCAGCATTCTTACAGTGATGTGGAAGCAGCTTAATCTACAGAGGATGAATAGCCCAAGAAGATGTGGGACATGCACACCATGGAGCATACCATATTGCATAGGCACAAGAAGAAGTAAGGCATTTTCAACAAAATGGAGGGAATTTGAAAAAAATGATATTCAGCAAAGCTAATGAGAATGATAAAAACAAATACTTGTTCTTATAACGATTGTAATAGCAATAAGCATCATCAACAAGCGCTGCGGTTAAGGTGGAGGGGAGATTGAAAGACTCTGAAGGATGGTGGGAGTGGGGAGGGAGATGTATACAGATAATTTTGCAACCCCTAATTGAATCAGTTAATATTTAGACTTTATTTCTGACACCTGACTGGGCTTTTAAAACCTATTGTTGTGACCCTGTGGCATCCATAAGTATACCAACATTCACATTGTTGTACAAACATTTTATCCCCAACAGAAGCCAAATCCATCAAACACTT